CTGCCTTCACTTTAACTAATCCATTGTGAGCCATTTTGAATTGACTTTTAGATGTCTTAAGAAATTTTTGATGTCTTAAGAAATTTTTGATGTTCTATAAGATTTGAGCTTTTTGCATGTGGATATCCAGTTGTTCCAGTATATTTATTGAGGGCACAATCCTTTCTCCACTTAAGTGCTTTTGCATCTTTGCCAGAAATCAAATGTCTGTTATGTGGGTGTCTATTTTGGGACTTTATATTGGCACTTTGGTGGTTTGTCTATCTTAATATCAATGCTGTTTTGTCATGATTGGTGTAACTTTATGATAAGTCATGGGGTTGGAGAGGGTTACAGCTCTAATTTTGTTCCTTTATCAAAGTTGTTTAGAGTATTCTGAGTCTTTTTTATTTTTACAGAAAAGTAAGAAAATGTTAATCTATATGAAAAATGATGTTGACAGTTTGATAAGGGATTCTGATCTTTATTATTCTCTTCTATTTATTTTTGCTTCATTCTGTCTCTTATTTTTAATTTAAAAAATAGACCAAAAAAGGGGTTGCGGACTTAGCTCAGTGGCATAAACACCTGCCTTGCAAGCAGGCGGTCTTGAGTTTGACCCCCAGTACCGATAAAAAAATAAAATAAAATAAATAGACCAAAAAAATTTGCCCATGCTAAACTCAAACTTGCAATCCTTCTGCCTCAGCCTCCTGAGTAACTGGGATTATAGGAATGTGCCACCCCTCCCTATAGGAAGTCTGTTTAAGATGAGCTGAATCACCCAATGACAACTTTTCTTCCCCACATATTTTTCCTCTCTTTTTTTTTTTTCACATCCTCCTCCTCCTCCTGAAAATGGCAGGATGACTGAGGCTCCTGCTGACATTCTGTGATACTGAGGCTTAAGGCTACTTCCTAAGGGTGGTGGCATCGCAGCATGTCAGTGGGAACCTCAGTATTCCTTAAGACATTGAGAAACCCACTCCCCAGCCTTGGGACACAGACTTCAAGCCCTGTTATGTGAGTGAGCAATGAATTACCTCTTCAAGTCATTGCTGTTTCTGGTTTAACTTGTGTCTCCTAAATCTGAATACAGAATTCTTGTTATGTGAGAGAATATCCTTTGTAGTAAACTGTATGTCACAGCTGGAACCCAAATGTCCCCACCACCACTGAAGGTTCATTGTGTTGAAGGCTTGGTTTCTCATGGAACTGTGGGAAGTCATGGATAATGAAGCCTCTAACAGCATCAGTGGATCAATCCATCCATGAGATGATAATATGAAGGCACTGAGAGATGATGGACCTACATATTTCCCCCAAGCTAAGACCAGGCCTTATATATTAATTTTTGCTCCAAAAGATGCAATAGGGCTTATTTTCAAGGAATATCTTTTTTATGCTTAATAGTCTACATTTATTCATTTATTCATATACAAAAATCTATACTTCTTCATGTACAAAAATTCTACATTTATTCAAATACAGTCATGTCATCTTCTTTTGGAGCATCATTGTAATTCTCAACTCTCAGGTCGAATTTCCTGCAACTCCATTTCCTGTAGAACCATTGGCCCTCATCTCTTACGTCCAGTGATACAGCTGTCCTTAAATGAGTCCTTCTCATCCACAGAGGCTGCTCGTAGTGCATTGGCAGCACAACAGTCAGTGATTTTGTCCCATGAATTCTTCACCCCAGCCATGACCTCTTGCAAGAGAGGCTTCACGAAGTTTCCAATCAAATGTAAATTGAAGACTTAGAGACAGAAGTGGCAAAAAGTTGACTGTTAAGAAAGATGGTGCAAAAAATTGCAGGCACCAAAATTCAGAAAACAATTTATTTCATGTCAATGCATTAAGTATGTCTGTTATAAACACAATGGACTGAATTATGAAGATTCATATTAGACATGACCCTGTCTGTTCATCACCAAGTGTGCGTGTTATTCATGCAGTGTGTTTGTAATCTGGTCATTCAGCATTGTCTCAGGATCATCTGTCTACACGGGTGTTTACCTCTCGTTGGGTATTTACAAATACTTACTTATTGATGTACTTATCATTTATTTTAAGGATCCATGTCAATAATACTATTTATTTATACTTAATTACATTTAATATTATTTTATAACAATATGTCCATCAGGTGTGACAACAGACAGACTAAATCCATTCATCCGGCTGATCTTATCTGGGGCTTTTTTTTTTTTGAGATAGGATTTATATTACAGTCTTCCTGAAAACTCATGCTGGGGCTTATTTTCAGGTTAGTTCTCATGCAGGGAGAGGACAGTAGTTGTAGGAAACAGGTCACTGGGGCCATCTTTGCAAAGTACACCTTTCCTCAGGCTCTTTCACTGCTCTCCACCTCCTGGCTGCCATGAGGTGAGCAGCTCTCTCCACCATACCCGCCATGGTGTTCTACCTGCCACAGTCCTAAAGCTACAGAGCCAGCAGATCTCTCAAACTGAGAGCGAAAACAAACCTGTTCCTTTTCAGGGAATATCTTTTTTATGCATAATAGTCTATATTTATTCATTTATTCATATACAAAAATCTACACTTCTTCGTGTATAAAATTCTACATTTATTCAAATACAGTCATGTCATCTTCTTTTGGAGCATCATCGTAACTCTTTAAGTTTTGTAGGTCAGTTATTTGCCCCAGCAACAGAAAGGTGACTAAAGCACAGTGCTGCTGTTCCCTCCCTAAAGAAGTTTGGAGTTCCCTGCCCTGATGAATTCAAATGGTCAGTGCAAAGGCAAGCAGAAAGAGCCCATGGTGCATCTCCCTTGTCCTTTTTTTCCTTCCGCCACGGCAACCAGAAACGTTTCCGCTAGTGGCCTCCTCATGGTGTTCTGGGATGGTATTCAGGGTCCCTGGTAGTGAAACTACACATGTGTCCCATAATGCCCAGCTTCCATCAGCGACTTTCGCTTAGTCCAGAATTTTACACAATTGATTTATACTGCCTGTGCTCTTTGGTATCTAGCTTCTTTCCTTCAGACTAATGCTTCTGAAATGCACCTATGTTGTTGTGTATTTCTTGTTCAGTAGTATATATACACTTATCTGTTCCAGTGGACATTTGGGTTATTTTCTTTTTTTTTTTCTTTTACTACTACACAGATTACTATATATATTTGTATGCAAATCCATGTGGACATGTGATTTCATTTCTCTTGGATAAATACTTAGGAGTTGACTTTCTGGATCATATTGTTTACGTGTGTGTGTGTGTGTGTGTGTGTGTGTGTGTGTGTGTCTGTCTGTCTGTCTGTCTGTGTGTGTGTGGTACTGGGGATTGAACACACATCTCCAGTTATTATTTTGAAACAAGGTCTCTCTGAGTCAATGAGCTGCCCAGGCTGGGCTTGAACTTTCAACCCTCCTGCCTCAGCTTTCCAGAGTGCTGGAATTGCAAATGAGTAACTCGTAATCTATTAAGCAATAGTAGAGAGAAAGTCTCTGCAGTGAAGATGAAAGCCCTGACTTGCCCTTAGCTGTTGGAAGGTCGCTCTAAACCCGGGGAACTTCTGCCTGGTAAACATGCTTGTATGTGGGCCTCGGGTCACACCAGATAATTTATAACAATGTGACTTCCGGTGGGGGCTTTGGGCCAGATGCACCAGCTTGGCTGTGAAGGGGCTGGAAACCAAGATCAGCCTTGGGGTGGTCAGTGATGCCTATGTGACTGACACCAAGGCTGGGTGGGGTGAGTTGCCTGTTCGGCAGGACCTTGGGGTGCTGGACTACCCTGTGCTGAGAGAAGTCAGAGAAATGATAAAATGTTGTTAGTGGCCCCTCCAAACCCCACACACAGTCTTCCTAGGTGCCCTAGGTGCCTAGGTCCTAGGCACTGGCTCGGGATCTTCAAGGAGACCAAACTCTATGGTGTTCCAGTCCCTGATATAAAACAGCTCAGATCTGCCTATGACCCACACACATCCTCCTGTGCACTTTAGATCATGTCTGGATGGCTTGTACCACCTCATACAATGTCACTGCCATGTAAATAACTGTTAGGCTCAATTGTTTGGGGAATCAGGACAAGAAAAAAATCTACACGTTCAACAGAGAGGCAGTGCACCCTCCATCCCATATTTCAATCCAAGGTTGGCGGAATGCACGGATTTAGAAGGCTGAGGCACGGAGGGCTGACTATGTATCTACCTGTCTGCCTGTCTATCTATCTACCTATGTATCATGATATAACATGTTGAAAAAATAAAATATACTACCTTTTTAAAAATATAAAATGCTAATTATTTGTGATGTACTCTGACATTTTCTTTTCTATTTTATTATTTTCTTTTCTCGTATTTTATGCCACACATGGCCCACTAAACTGATTTCATAACTGCTTTTTGGAGTGATGACCCAAGTGTCTGAAGCACCACAGTACAGCCCACCATGGTGGGATCTCATGGATGGACAGTGGACCAGTCAGCCTCAGTCTGGCTCAGGCTATGCCCTGAGCCCTGAGCACCAGAAGGCCGTGACCTGGTGTGGCCTGGCTGAGGCCTTCACTGGGGCCAGCGACTCCACAGGTCTTTGTGGAGTGCCCACCAGAGCCTCCTTAGGCTGTGCTCCAGGTGCCCCAGCCCCTGCATGCCTACACCGCACTTGGAGCCTACTCCCCAGCCAGCACAACTTCCCTGGCGGAAACACCCAAGGCTAAGAGGTTGCCAGCAACTGTCCTTTGTGGGCTGGGGAATAAGGACGGAGCTTGGGGTGCAGGCAGATTGTCCACACTTATGCACATGAGGCCCCTTGAGATAAGGCAGGGACCCAAAGAGCCAAAGATAGAGGATCACATGGGTAGGACCTCTGTTTGTGGTGAGCTGATTCCAGATACAAGACTCAGATTCATGGACCCAGCAACCCTGAGAGGGGCTTCAACTCCTGCCCGCAATCACAGGCGGGGTCATCCCCCTTCCTACAGTCTCCCACCAGGCCACTTCCTGTGCTTTCTTCCCAGTCCTGGCTGTGTAACAATCAGAGGCCACAGGGAAAGAAAGATGGCAAAGCACTTTACTTCTGGTCAGAACAGGGCCAGGGAGCCGGCAGCCCTCAGAGGCAGGCAGGCTGGAGAGGGTGGGACTTGGCTGTCCGCTCAGGGATGGCTGCATCCAGCTGCATCTTCCCTGTCGTGGCTTCTGGTATTGACCACGCTGTAGGCCCTTAGAGGGGTGGGAGGAGGCTGATGCAGTAAGCTGGTGGGGGCTCAGCCTCCGGACGCCGCAGGCAGGCCGTAGCTCCCACATTCGCTGGACTTACCTGCCAGGCTTCCGGCACCATCGGGACACCTGCCTACACTTGCCGCCTGTGGGTGAGGAAGATGGATCAGCCATGATTGAAATAATGTTGACTGTACATGCACTGGGGCTGGGGGACAGACCAATGATCCTGTCCCTCAGGAAGCTCCCAGTTACTCTAGACAAGAGTGAAGGGACACACATGAGAAAAGCCAGTGTGAAATGTTCATGTACGCACAGGGATGAGCTCTCAGAACGCTCAAACTGCTTTATGGATTCAGTTCGTGCGTATTTATTGTGCATCTACTATATGCCAGGCACTGACCTGGGTACTGGAAACACTGTGGTGAACAAGAAGAAAAAAAACCCCAGCCCTTGTACAGCTGACTTTCTGGTAGGGGAAGTAACAAAGAAAATTAAGATAAATGTGTGGGTGGAGACAAGCACTATGAATAACAATAAAGCCAAGAAGGAGTCAAGGAGGCCCAGGAGCTGGCAGCATCCTTGGGAGATGCATGGGGGCCTCGAAGAGGAGGTGATATTTGGACAAAGGCCTGAAGGAGGTGAGCAGGAGCCACGGGGAACCAGGAATGGAGGAAGGAAGCTCTAGCTAGAGGAGCAGCCGCGCAAAGGCTCTTGGGTAGGATGGCACAGATGGGCTCGGGGCCCAGGATCGGTCAGGGGGATCTCAGAAGCCAAAGGAGCCAGACATGGGGGTCATGCCTGTAGTCCCAGCACTGGGGAGGCTGCAGCAGGAGAATCACAAGTTTAACCCCAGTCTGGGAAGCTTAGCAACTTTGTGAAAACTTATTTCAGAATAGAAACAAAACAGGACTGGGGATGTAGCTAAGGATAGGGGCAAAGGCACTCCGGAAACAGCACTATGCCCCCATCTCCTGGCTGCCAGCCTGCCTCGCCCCACCTTGCCTCTCTGCTCCTCTCCCCTGCCTTCTCAGCCCCGCCGCCCCGGCCTCTCCCACCCCTGCTTCCAGGCCTTTGTCCTTCCTGCTCTCTCTACTTGGGTTTTGTTTTTTAAGTCATCTCTTCATCATCAGGAATCGATGCTGACTTCAGGGCCGCAGAGGGCACTCCTCTCCTGGCCTCAGGCTTTTCCTTGCTGTAGCTGACAAACACTCTTCTCTTATCCGCTCTGCTCATGCATGCTCTTGCCTGTTTATCGTTGCCTCCCCTGGGTCAGTGATACTTATGTGCTGTGTGATGGTACTGAACTCCTCTGAGCCTTAATTTCCCCACCTGGCAGGGAACAGGGCCGGCTCAGCATCAGGGGCAACAAACATACATTGAGCAATCGAGGCTACTGCACTTGACCCCAAGTTCAAGGATGTGGCTGTGCCCATTGCCCTGATGGGGAAGTTGCATAAGAAAGGCAAAGACATTTGGCATAGGTTGGACAGCCTAAGTGAGAGCTTGTGCCCCCAAACCCCGGGACTGAATCTAGGGCCTTCACACTGAGCTACATTCACTACATTTCCAGCCCTTTTTAAATTTCTTCTTTGAAGACAGAGTGTCTCTAAGTCTGTAAGTTTTCTAGACAGGGGTTCAACTTGTGATTCTCCTGCCACAGCCTCCCAGAGTTCTGGGATTCCAGGTATTCACCACCATACTGGTTTTAAGCAAGAGCCTGTAAACGGAAGCTCTTGTGTTTTATTTCTCCTGCACAGCATCTTAAAAACCCCCTTTTAAAAAGATTAGCTTCTCAGGGCTGGGCATGTAGCTCAGTGGTAGAGCACCTGCCTGGCACATGTAAAGCCCTGGTTTCATCCGCAGCACTGCAAAAAGCAAAAACAAAAACAGAAAGGTTTTCTGCTTGTTGTTATTCCTCCCCGCACCCCCTCCCTGCCCTGAGCTGGGCCGTGGGAGGCAGGCTGGACAGGTCACATCTTGGGGCCCCTTGCCCTCCACTGTGGGCAGGAGATAGGAGGGCAGGAGGTGCGACAGGCTAGGCTTCCCTCCGGGTTGGGTTTCAGTGAGGTGGTGGGTGGTGGCAGGAATCTTCTCCGTGGGGTCAGCACTCCCAGAAGCAAGCTTGCTACTGTCCCACCTCTTACCAGGCCCTGACACAACCATTACACCTTCGGGCTGGGGTGACAACAGTCCCCACTGTCTCCAGGCCCCAGGTGGGGTGCTGTGCCATACCCCGCCCCTGCCTCTGCAGCAGCTCCCTGCTATGGCCTGGAATGATTTCAGTGTGTCCCCCTAAAGGGTGATGTACTGAAACTATGGTCCCCAGTATGCTGCAATGAGAGGTCTTGGAACCTTTAAAGAAGCAGGGCCACGTGGAAGATAATGAGGTCACTAAGGACACGAGCTCTAAAGGGATTGGAGCTCTGAAGAGACACAAATCTCTCTGAGTAAGTGAGTTGTGCTTTTGTTTTTTTTTTAAATCAAGGCTGAGCCAGGAGTAGTGGCTCAAGCCTGGAATCCCAGCATTCTGGGAGGCTGAGGCACGAGGAGCACAAGATGGAGCTCAGGCTGGGTAATAAAGGGGATGGGGATGTGGCTCAGTGTGAAGCCCCTGGGTTCAGTCTCCAGTACCTCAAAAGAAAAAGAAAAAGAAGGGGAGAGAGGAAGAGGAGGAGAAAGAAAAGGAGAAGAAGAGGAAAAGAAGGAGAAAAAGAAGAGGAGGAGGAGCAAGAGAAGGAAAAAGAACTCTATTTTCTGACCATTCGCATGAACCTGGGCCTCATGATTTGTTTTGACCAGTGGGCCAGTTCTAAGCCTTCGCACCTCTCTCTCTCTCTCTCTCTCTCTCTCTCTCTCTCTCTCTCTTTCTCCTTGAGCACCACCACATATTCAATCTCAGGCGAGAGCAGTGGAAAATTAGGCCACAAGGTGAAGAACTGAGGGCCTATATAAACAGGGCTCCCTTCTGGCCTTTAGCTGACCTCAGGCACATGCGTAAAGCCAGCTGTGAGCAGAATCACCCAGCTGAGCCCAGCCTCCATCTCCAGGCTGAGGCGGGGGAGCCGAACTGAGGGCCTGGCACACCGCAGAGCTGCAGATGTGCCTGGCTGAACAGCCTCGTCCAGCGGCCTTCTAGAACCTGGCTCTCAGTGCTGACCAAGGCCCCTCTGGTCTTGGTGACTTTCCCCTCGCCCCGCTCTTACTGGTAAGGATGACAATCCCTGTGATGAAGAGCACAGCTGCCACCAGCAGCCCTCGTTTCCGGAGAGTGTCCACATCTGTGGAGAAGGACAGGAGTGGACAGTGAGTGGTTCCTTGGCCTTTCCTTCCCACCTCTTCCTGTGAGTAACTCACCGTAGTAGAAGGGGTCCTTATCTGGACCTGGAAAGAAAGATGAGACACAGATCAGAGTCTGCAGAGTTCTGTGCGGTGAAGGGATGGATGGCGGAAAGTGGGGGCATCTGGTTCTCAGCCTTTCTATCCTTAGAGCAAAACACAAGGTCCTTATTTCAACACACAATCCGTTTCCATCACATCTCTAGCCTCAGTTCCTCCACCACTCACCCCACTGAAGCCCAGAGGCCTCCCTGCTGTTAAGCACATCAACCCTCTTTTCACCCCAGGGCCTTTGCACTGGTTACCCCTTCTGCCTGGAATGGCCTTTCCCTAGATATCCATGTGACTGCTCCCTTCACTTCTTTAAAGTGAGGCCTCCCCTGCTCCTGCATATGAAATACTCCCTTGTCACTTCCTGACCCTAACCCTGCTTTATTTTTCTTGATTGCAAGTTAAAACTACCTGGTACATAATTACCATGATTATTATTTGTTCTCTTTATTCTTCCACTAGACTGTCAGTTTCTGGGATGAGAGACTTTGCCTTTTTTTGTCACGGCTATATCTCTGGCACCTAAATCGAGGACTGGCACACACAAGGCACTCAATGTTTATTTGTTTGTTTGCTGTTTTTTGCAATGCTGGGAGTTGATCATAGGACCTTCCCATTGAGGTATATTTTTATTTTTTATTTTGAGGCAGGCTCTCACTAAGTCTCTGAATTGCTTAGGCTGGGCTTGAACTGTGACCCTCCTGCCTCAGCCTCTAAGAGTGCTGGGATTATAGGTGTGAGTCACCACACCTGGCTGTCAGAGGGTCTTTGTTGCATGAACAGGTGAATGCATCCCCGCTGTGGCCCATCGGTGTGGCATTCCCTTCATGCATTGAGTGTTGGGTGGACAGAAAATGGGGACGAGGCCTCGAGGGAAAGAACCAGGTGCCCTGAACACATTAGTGAGCCCAACCATGCCTAAAAGAACCCCACAGCTGAGCACAATCTACATTTCGCACGGTGGAAGCCAAATAGTGACCATCTAAAGCCTCTGAGTTTGTCGTGCCTTGCATGTAGCACTTACGTCCACTCACACATTCTTGAGCACCCTTCTCTGCCAAGAGGACATCATTTATTCTCTCAACATACGTGTCCTTCAAATGGGCTGGGCACATTCCAGGTGCCGGCAATGCCCAGAACCTGGGAAACGGTTGTTGCCAGTCTGGAAAGGGAGTTACTGACCAGTCTGTCTGAGCGTGTCGTTCCTCCTGACGCGTCTGTCTGGTGTTGATCTGTGGTAGAGGGCCGTGGTGCCTTCATTGAGACGAGCAGAGTGAGTGGCTATAAGGCGGGGAAGGTAGGTGGGAGTCGTGGAGGCAAAATCAAGGAGTGAGGAACAGGGAGAGGTCACTCCCCCACATCTATGCAAGTGGCCTGCAAGGGACAGGCACTCTGCCCCCACGGAGGCAGCAAGCAGTGGTCAGCCCCTCCAAGTTGGGTATTTTGTATCTTACAACTAAAAATCTCTTGCCCTAACGTGAAGGAGACAGATACAAAGGAACCAGCCATAGCCCCATTTCCCAGCACCAGCCCTCAGAGGGGAACCCAACAAAAGAGAGACCCCAGGTCAGTAGTGCTTGGGAAATGCTACATTCGGGATGCTTCCTCTTGGGGACAGTTGGTGAAAATTAGCTTTATGGAGGCTATGAGAAGTCCTGCCAAAGAGAAAAATGTTTAACCCACCATTTCCCAAACACCTTTGACCACAAACCAAAACGATTTTTAAAAATCTACTTGGAAGTCCCCCAACAGGTGCTTTGAGCAGTAGACATTAACAGGGAATTAAATAAAGGAAAAACCGAAGTCTGCTCTGCTCCCCGCTGGACTCTTACCTTCCTTGCTACTGATCTGTGGCCCTGGATCTGTCACCAGAAAAAAAGCATCTGTTCCAGACGGTTGCTGGGTCTTGGTCTCCAGCTCAGCTGTGTGCCCAACTTGCTGTGTGGTCTCAGCAAGGTTGCTCTGTGTCTCTGTTTCCTTGACTGTAAGAGGAAGACAGTGGTCACCCTGATCTCACTGCATTTGGGGGAGGATCAAAGGAGCTAACGCACAAAAAGCACTTGGATCTGTGGCCCTCACGTCGTAAGTGCTGTTGGGGTTTGGGGCAAGAAGAAAGTACAAGGTTGCTTGTGTGGCACCAGGCACAGCAGGAAAACCTGAAAGCCACCACTGTGCCCATCAGCAGAGTGCGACTTTGCTCATTTCCCGGCCCCTGTGCAACAACCAGGAGGTGCAGAGGAGCAGAGGGGTCTTCCGCAGCGACATGAGATGAGATCCACACTACCACTGCATGAAAAAGGTGGACAAAGCAAGCTGCAGGACCATCACCTGCCACCCTTGAGCTCACAGAAATGCAGCAGGAAGCAGGTGTATTTTCTGCAGATCCTGTGCGTGTGCTATTACTGTAGAATGGAGACCACTCAGTGCTCACTGGGGGCCTCTCCAAGAAGGCGGAGGGGACAAACAGGGTGGGGCTGGGAGGCAGAGGGATTCAGTCTTGCCTATGTTTCTATTCGTTCCCTCGAGAATGTGTGTCTGTGTTCTTGGGTCACTAATCATTAATTTGAAAACATTGGGGAGGAAGTTGAGTGTGTGGGCATGTCTGTAATCCCAGGACTCTGGAAGGCTGAGGCAGGAGGACTGTAAGTTTCAGCTCAGCCTAGCGACTTAGTAAGACCCTGTCTCAAAAGAAGAAATTTAAAATAAGGGCTGGGGATGTCGCTCCAGTGAAAGGCCCTAGATTCAATTCCCAGTCCCAGTCCCCCTGCCCCTGCCCACTCACCATCAGCAAGCCAGGTGGACGTCAGAGGGGTAGAATGGCCTTCTAGGTGGGCTGCATCTGGCATCCAGAAATAGATTAGGGGCAGAAGAAAGTAGAGACAAGCCGCAGATCAACACTGGGGGGGTCCCATAGCATTTCAGTTTTGATGTAATGAAATGACTGAAGTCACCCAGTTATTTATTGGCTAAGAGCTCAGTCTGGATCCCTGGGCCTCCCCTACCTTAAGACCCAGACTCCTACATCAGCCAAGCTAGCAGCTCCTTCTTGGGCATCTTGTTGCCGGTCAGTCTCACTAAGACTCCGAAAAGTCCTGCCTAGGTGTTCAGCTCAGTTTTCCAAATACCTCTGACCCACAAACCAGCACCCATCCAGTAAGAGTCCTGGAGCCCTCCTTAGGGGAGCATCTTTCCTGATTCAGTGGGGCTGCTACCCATGTGTTGGAGGTTGTCATGGGAACCAGACCGACTGTCAGTTGTCTGTGCCTGTCATCACCACAATCAACTCATAGGTGGACATATCACCCAAGGCAGGTCAATGACGTTCAGTTATGGGACATTTAGTGGACTGGGCAAATGGAAATTCTCTTGCTTTCAGATCCTTACGAGAACTCTAGGGGCCATTTTGGCCCATCAGAGGAGAATCTGACTGAAAATGAAGCCAACATAGAGGAAACAAAACCAAGCGCTGGTGATTTTCCCGACTGTCCCTACATGAAGCCGTGCCTAAAGGCCTATCCTGGGACTTTTTAGTTAGTCAGGTTCATGGATTCCCCAGTTTGGCCCAGGATGAGATTCATCTTGACAGATCTGCTCCCTTTTTCTCACCTGGATCTTCTGTTAGAACGTGAGTGTTCACAGTAGTTGGGTCCACCGTACGAAGGGAGGTGACCAACCTCTGTCCTGGAAAAGCAAGGATGAGATCAGAAGAGAGCCTCTGCTCCTCTTTTCTCACCTTCGCTCCCTCTCTGACCAACTTTTGGAAAGCGTGGGGACCACCAACGGATGAATCCATTGATGAGTGAAGTGTTCCAAGATCTAACCACCTTCCAAACATATGAAGCTTTGGGGGACACTTTAAATCTACACCATAGCATCTGGGGCCCTTCCTTCAGCCCCCTGTCTCCACCCATCATTGTGGGCTTGTCTAGTAAGCCCCAGTGCTACGGTCAGGCAGGACCCTATTTTTAAATTTTGCTCCCAATGACTTCCTTGCTGCATGACTTGGAGCAAGTGAAGTCTCCACTCTTCTCTGAGCCTCAATTGTCTTGTCTGCAAAGTGGGGATTATAACTATCTCACAGGGCTGCAGAGACTGAGTAGGAAAAGGGTCTCCTCACAGTGTCACATATAGTCAGAGCCTGACACATCCACTGCCTGCTCCACACCCACAAGTCCCATCAGCCTCCTCCCTGGTCTCCTGCTCTGGCCCTGCCCCCACAGTACGCTCCCATCTGCAGTCAAAGGGAGTCCTTGCCCACCTGAGTCAGGGCAGGCTCTCCAGGCTCTGAGCCTGCGCAGGATGGCTCATCTCACCTGGCTCATCATCCCCTCCCTCTGATCCCCATCACCCTCTGTCCTCTCCTCTTTCCACCCTGTTCCTTGCAAACTTAACCCAGCCTTGAGGCCTCCCCACCAGCAGACAATGCTCACCCGCAGGGACCTGCTCAGTTCACTTCTCTGCACCCAGTGTCACCCACCTCTGGGAAGCAGTCTTGAGACCAGCCTGGTTAGACAACCCTCATTGCCCTCCTTTATTTTCCCGAGTGCTATCACCTTCTGGGCTCCTACACAACTTGCTGATTTGTTGATTACTGTCTGTCTTTGGCCTGATATTATCCACTGATTTTTTTTCTCTTAGTGCTTAGATCTGGTGCACAGTAGATGCTCAGTGAATACCTTTGCTTCTTCTCTAGTTTTAAGACTCGGTCAGTGAGTTTATAGATGGATGTGTAATTAGAGGTGTGGCCTGATGGAAGGTAGATCACAGGGATCGTGACCTGGAAGTATGAATTCTTGTCCCCAGCTCCTCCCTTCTCTCTTTGCTTCCTGGCTACCATGAGTTGAGCACCTTGTTCTCAGCTAGGTCCTTCCACCAATGGCATTTCTGCCTTGGAGCCAACCAAGGCATCTGGCCTTGAACTCACTAGGTAGCTCAGGCTGGCCTCACACTAGTAATCCTCTTGCCTCAGCCTTCCAACTGCTGGGATTATAGGCATGTACCACTATACCCCAGCAACAAGAATACAGGAAACCCAAAGAGAAATGGGGGCATTTTTCAGTGGAGCATGTGATCTGGGTTATGAGAAAGGCAGAATGGCTATAATTCTAGCTCTGAATTTCAGTTTTCTCATCCATAACATGGGCATGACAGCATGCACAAGAGCTAAAGGCCACACCAGCCAAGGGACATAGCACCTGCCTGTGGAAAGCATCTGCAAACTCCAGCTTTACGGTGACCCCTTTGAGGCCAGCAAGGTTGAGAGGCTCCTACTGAAGACTAGCGCCCCCCCCCCCACTTCCCACACACCCCCTTTACAGTGTTCACGGGGATCCAGGAAGCCAACTGTGTTGGGAACCTAGGTTTTCTGGCTGCCTAAAAGAAAACTGACACCGACCTCCTGGCCAAATCAAACGGGCTGAGTTCTTCTTGGAGGTGAAATGGAGGGTGCTCAGCAGGAAAGGCGCCAGCCAGACTCTTGAGAAACTGGAAGCTACCACGGAGGGTTGAGCTGTCCAGAGAAGGTGTAACCCCAGACCTGGCTAGGCCTCCCCACTTCCTGGTGGAGGCTCAGTAGGAAGGCTGGGGGGATAAGACAGAGCCTCCAAACTCACCAGCCCCTAGGGCTCCGGGGCAGGGTCTTACCTCTGATGGGCATGATCAGGCCAATGATGGTGAGGAGACACAGGCGACTGGAGGGCAACATCTGTGGGGTGAGTAGCAGCTGGGGTAGGTGAGGCGTGGTCTGGGGTAGTCCCTAGAGGTCCTGCAGCCCCAAAGCTCCCCTCCCCAAAGCTGGTTTTAGGATCCCCCTTGCTGTCAGTCAGGGCTGACTACAAGCAGGCTTCGGGGCTCAGAGGTGGAGGTCCCAAGCCCCCACCCCTTCCTCTTCCTGTAGATCTCAAAAACAAGAAGCCACAGGCCCACCTGGACACCCAGCAGTGCCAAGAGCACACATGCCCTGCGCTGCTCCCCAAGCCAGGCTCGGACCCTCCCGAGGGCTGGCAGGGAAAGGCAGGGCGCTCTGGGCAGAGCAGAAGAAGGCTTCCCACTGCCTGGGGCACAGGGCCGAAGCCTCGAGGAGCTGCAAGAGGAAGGGTGAGTAATCCACTCCTGATCACAGGGGAAAAAGTGAGCTGTGTTGGGCGGTACTGCGGACGGAACGAAGCCCAATGCTGGGCAGCTCCGAGAGGGGCTGTCTGCACGGGTGGAGCAGAACTAGGGAGACTGAGGCAGGAGGCGGGGATCGAGTGGCCCAAGTGTAAAGCCACGTGGGCATGCGCGGAGGCGGAGAGGCACCGACGGGCCGGTGTCTTGCCCACCTGAGTCGGAGCTGGGCAGAGGGGCTACGGGCAGAGGAGGAGGAGCGCGGGGCGACTTACATCAGAGCCGGGACCGCGAGCCGAGCCGCGGCCGCAAGGGGCCAGGGCAGCAGGAGCAGCGTCCGGGCGAGGGTGTGGCCAGGAGAGCGCGGCGGGCGGGGACCCAGACGGGCGCAGTCATTTCCTCTTGGGTTTCCTGGCTTCGGAGCCCCGCAGCCCCGGGTGAGAGCGGGAGGGGGAGAAGCTAAAGACGCTGGGGGACTGGGGTGGCCTCCGCCCACCAGGCCAGGGGGAGGGCGGAGGCGGGGAGGGAAGGAGGGGAAAGGGCTGCTCCGGAGGTGTGGAGGGAGGGGTGAGGAAGCGAGGAGGAGGAGGACGAGGAGGAGGACGAGGAGGAGCGACTGGGGCCCTGGGGAAGGGGTGGACTGTAGGCACGCAAGGGACAGCGACCCGGCTTCATTCTCAGCCCCCATCCTTGTGTGCCCACAGATAAGAACGCACAGACAGAACGGGAAAAACCAAATGCACATTTATTAAGCTCAAGATGTGGACACCTAGGGGCCAAGGAACGGATGCTCCGGAAAGAGACGAAGGGGTTGGGGGAGCAGCGCACGGGCTTCCTGGGGAGCTGGGGGTGGACTCCCAGATCCCAGGAGCTGGAGGCATGAGTCCCTGGGTCTGGGGTGCAGACAGGCTCTTTGAGGGGATCGTCGTTGCCAAGACCTGGGAAGGGACAGCAGGGTGCAGCGGCTCCAGCCTTCGGGTGGGTGGGGCGGCTCATTCGGGGGAGCGTCCCCGGCGCAAGGCTGGGGTCCCCACCGCTTTTCACCCGATCCTCAGGCTCCCGCGTCAGGCGAGGACAGCAGTGGAGGTTCCCTGGGGCTGGTTTTAGACGCCACCGCCGCCAGGCGCTGGGGAAAGAGGCGGGGCTGTGTGAGCCCGGGGAGAGGCGCACCTCCCCTGCCCACAGCCGGCGGGCTCGGCATCCCCGGGTCCTGGAAGCCAGACCCCTGGGGGCTGTCACTCATGGGCGAGCCCAGAGGACCTCTCTTGCCTCCTCACACCTTGCTACCTGCCGGCTATTGTTACCGATCTGTGACTGCTGTCTATCCCAGAGTGAAGTCCAGAAGGGAAACACAGTTGTGGAGGGGCCCAGCCTCAAAAGCCAACCTGGAGTTTTCTAGTGTCCTCTTGCCAGAAAGGGAGTACCCACCCCCTTCTTACCCCTTCTCCTCCCAGGCCCTCATGCCTTTCCTGTGTCTTGCATTCTGTACACCCCGACTCAACAGAATTCCTTTTTCCACCTACAGCAGACCTTCCTTCAGCTGGGGTTGGAGGGTGGTCAGGATCCTGCACAGATTCTCAGACTGTGCTCCAAGTGTCAGGGCCAAATACCAGCATCCACACTGTACCCCACCTGCATCCTCAGAGTGCCTGGTTAAATATGCTCAAATTTCCTTAAGAGAACATGAAACAAAATCCAAAGTTCCACACCCAATTCCCCCAAGCCCTTCTTTTCAGTTACAACAATTGTATAAAAGGCAAAAGATTCCTGTCCTTTGATTTTTTCACAGGCCCCTGGAAAGGACGCAATGCCACCAAAAACAGGTCAAGATATTTTTGTATAATGAAGACTAACACCCCCAAGGAGTCATGATCTCCTGTCTGCTTGCCAGTCCCCACCCCTCTGTTCCTTCCACCCTCCATCCCCTGGGCCTCCACCCTCCTTTCCCCCAGCACCCTCACCCCTCCTTTGCATTCCTTCCTAACCCCCTTTCTCCTTCCTCTGGGACCTCCGGGACCTCCACACTTTTCATCATGCATCCCTCATCTATTTCACAAGCCTTATTCCCATAGGACCTACTTCCCCACAGCTACTTTCTCCAACATGAATTTTTAAATGTGCATTCTATGCATCTTTTTCTGATATAATTATTCAGAAACCCACCCTCTTCTCCTTCTTTTCCTATTTTTTCTCTTTGTTCCACTATAGATCAGGCCCAGATGGATGACAGCATCTGGAAAGCACTCTGCCCTTCTGTGGCCCCAGGGGCCCAGCTCCCCATCCTGGCTGGCAACTGTCCCTCTCCCAGCCAGGGTCCCTCCTCCCTGAGCTTGTGCCTCTCTTCCTTGGGAAATGGGTTTGTTCTTGCTCTTTGAGGTTTATGCATGTGTGTCTGGGAATCTTTGTGCTGTGGACTTTTCGGGTGTTTCCCATTCCACTGCCCCCTGGTGGCTTAATGTCTTCACTTTGCAGGGCTCAGCCACCTACAGAATTGCCCTGGTGCCACTGTTGGGGCCCAGGCTCTGGCTCTGGCGCCTCAGAGGCTGTCCACATAAGGATTCCCCTTTCCACTGCCACCTACCAACCTCCCAGACCACAGACGCGCTTTCTTACCCTCACCTGAAGATGGGAGCTCCGACTTACAGGACTTGCAGGTGGGGCTGTGGAGGCAGAGAGAGAGAGAGAGAATCAAGGGTTTGGCAGTTTGGGCCTCCTGGGCCCTTCCGGAGAAGCACCCCGAGGCCCTGGGCTGCCCTGCCACCCCCACTCTCCACTGCAGCCAGACCTCTCAGACCTGGAGTCTGCCTTTCTGCACTTCACCTTCTTGCCTATTGAGAGAGAGAGACAACAAGAAGCTAGGTACAGAGGCCACAGGGTATGGACAAAAGCCGACAGAAGACCTGAGGTGCCCATGGATGCCAGGGCAGCCCATGGAGGGCCAAACTTACTGATGATGATGATGATCCCCAGCAGGAACATTATGGTGGCCAGAGTCATGCCCACTGTCTGCACCGTGGCATAGTCTAGGGAAAACAGGAGGGCAGTCAGGGGGCCTCAGCCCTAGGTCCATGCTCCAGAATCCAGGACATTGCAAGCCACGCTGATGCCCCTCCAGAGGCTCACAGGAGAATGAGACCTGGGGTCGGGCTCCCTTTGACCTCTGCTCACCTCCCTCCTCCCCGCCCCCTCCCTCATTTAAGCACACACAACTGCTTCCTCCCTGACCCAGGTCCTGTCCACCATTGCCAGCCATTTCCACCACCGCAGCAGTCTTCTCTGTGGTGTCGCCAGCCTCAACAGTAGGGGAACCCTCCCTCAGCTACAGGGTCCCACTTGGCTCAAAACCCTCCCTCCCCAGCTCCCACTGCACTCCAGGCAAACAATAAGGTCCTCACCAAGGTCCTCAAGGCCCCAGTCCAATCCATTGTGTCCCTCAATCTCTACTTCTGTCATGATGGCCTCCTTGATGTTCCCACAGCAGATCAGCTGCTGTCCTGCCTCAGGACCTTTGTACTTGCCATCCCTCCATCCAAAAGCTTTTCTCTAGATAGCCACAAGGCTTCCTCCCTGAGAAACTTCTGGGATTCATTCAGATGCCAATTCACACCTCTCTATCGACTTAGGATTTTCCCATCTTCTTAAAACTTTCTAAATCCATTCTCTTCTACTTTTCTTCATGAGAATTATTTTTCTCTCCCATTCTCATTTCATAAATAATTTTCATTTTATTTACTTGAGTACCTGCCTCCCACTGAGTGTTAGATAAAGAGAGCAGGCAATTTTGTCCATATTGCTGCCTGCAGTGTTGCCAGGAGGCAGGTACGTTGTCTGGCACAGAGCATGTGCTCAGTAAGTTTTTGCTGAAATGTGAATTTGCAAAGCACACACTATATACCAGGCTTCAGGCTCAAGCAGTCAACTTCCATGTTATGATTAAGCAAGCACCAACAAACTGCATGAACAAAGGAAAAAACACTCAAAAAATCCAAGTCATCGCTGGATGTGGTATGGCTTCTTGTGCTAGGGAGTCAGGGAGGGGCCTTTCCCAGCAAACAGGCAATATTTAATCTGAGGCCAGAAGAAGGAAAAGGAATCCTAGCCAGCTGCAGAGAGTGCTAAGGAGGTGAATTCCTGGCAGAAGGAGCAGGGAGTGCAAAGGCCCCGAGGTGAGAAGAAAACTGGCTTATTGGAGGAGCTGTACAGATGGAGAAGAGGGGCATGTGCACAAAAAAACTAGGGCTAGACCCTCCAGAGAGGGGTAGAACTTCCACACCACGAGAATGACATAAAGGCATCTCAGGTAGCTCTCCTCACAGTCCTCAGAGCTGGGCACAATCGCCGCCTTTTATTCACAGGAGGGTCCATGGTCACACAGCTGGAGGATGGGTAAGCCAGGACTCGCATGCAGAAGACCTGGCTCAGTGTCATTGCTTTTAAGATGTTCCCTGCCTGCTTCTCTGGCGATTACAGTGCACCCGCCCAGGGTCCTGCTGACTGGAACATGTGTTAAGGGTCCATTCAAGTCCCTGGAGCCTCGAAGGGGCTTCAAGAGAGTATGAGACCACTTTCCTCCCCAGCGGGGTTCTACCCAACACACAGGCAGCTGACGTGACTACCCACATGGTCACACAACAGTGGCCCATGTATCACAGCTGGCATCTTCAGCAGTGCCTTATGGGGATCCGCAGCTACCCTCCATCCAGCCTTAGGATCACCAATTCTATACTCACCATAGAAAAATGGGTCAAATTCCTCAGGAGCTATGGGAAGGGAGGCAAGGAGGAGAGAGAAGGAGAAGTATTTGAATGCTAGCTTTCTTGACATTTGGGGAGGGATACTGAAGGCTGAACTTCGGGCCCCAGGATTGAGTTACATCCCCTGCCCTTTTTATTTTGAGACAAGGTCTCACAAAGTTGCTCAGGTTGGGCTTGAACTTGAAATGTTTCTGCCTCAGCCTCCCACTGTGCTGGGCTTATAGTTGTACACCACCGTGGCTGGATAAATTTCTTAACATTTTAAAGGATCTGGATGGCGCCACTGGCCCAGGAATTTCTTTGTGGAAATCTGAGAAGAAAGCCCCTTGCTCTAGATGATAGACACTTGTGACAGGATTCAGGCTTGACAAACAGAACACAGAAATAATTCCAGCCCCTCTCAGTCATTCCATCAGTCTGTTCCATCCCCTGTAAAGTGCACCATGTGCCCAGCCATACTTGGCAGTCCTGGTCCTAGACCCCTAGAAGTCTGATGTCAGCAGTGGCCTGCAAGCACAGACACAACCCCATTTACATATGATGCTGGGGTGGACAGACCCCAGTCCCACTGGTGGACCCAAGTCTGTGGGTCTGCTGCCCCTGGACACTGCCAAAGTTCCCAGGCAACTTCTCTTGCTCTCTTCCACTTGCTCTTGCTACCAAATCTACAGCAGAGGAGCTGCAGTGATTCATATATTATTTATCTCTAGGACACCAGCAATGTTAAGATTCAACATGGATTTGGCAGTGGTATTCCTGGTATGTGTGGATGTATGTACCACACAAACACTTGAGACACACCCATCCACTTAAAAACCCTAGTGCATAGGTCCAATGTGGGAAGTGGTGACAGACACCTGTAATCCTAGCACCCTGAGAGGCTGAGGCAGGAGGATCACAAGTTCAAGCTCAGTCTGGGCAAGTTAGCAAAGCCTCATTTCAAAATTTAAAAATAAAAAGAGCTGGGATACAGCTCAATGCAAAGGTCTAATTCCATCTTTAGTACCACCACACATGCCACACGTGTGTGTGCACCTTTGGGTCCCTTCTTCCTCATCTCCCACCTCCCTGCCACACACCCCACTCTCCTTCAGAAGTGCTCAGACCATCTTCCCATTCCAGAAGTACAATCCTCTGGGCTTCTACTTCCTCTGCAGTCCTCACAGGTTCTACCTTGTCAGGAGCTGAATTCTGCAGAGTTTGAGGAATGAGGAGCAGTGCCAGAGTGATGGCATAGTGTCCTTCTCTTCCCTTTCAGGCTCCTCGGAGGAGGGTAGCTCCCTTGAGGTTGTATGGGGTCTTGTAACTAATTCTCGTCAGTGAACTATACATAGAAGTACCATTGTCACTTAAAGGCTGGAACATCTAAGTACTCGTGCAAAAATTCTCTTTTGTCTCTGGCCTGGTGGCCTGAACATTCAAGATGGTGCCTGCTCTAGTTTCCTTTTCTGAGTGGTAAAGGCTTTTGATGGACAGAAAACATCAGTGAGAAATAACCCTGGTGATCCTAACCCACCAAGACTTTGGTACTGTTTGTTGCCAAAGTAAACTGTAGCCTGAACAGACTCACACAGAGGTCTCTGAGGCAAGACCATGAATAGCAGGAATCCATGCAGTGTGTCAGTTTGCCCCTTTCAGGCCTCTGCCCAGGCTTCAAGTTGGAGTAGATGTGTCTTTAATAGCTGCCTGCACTTGTTCGTACCCCGCTTACCCAGAGAAAACAAGCCTTGTGCTCAAAATCTTCCCCAGGAAACACAAATCTATGTAGAAGTTGTGACAGTGTTGTACTTATTTATTTAGCCAGGAATGTACGGCACTGATGCTGCATCAAGCTGCTTCTCAGCTCTTTACAGTGCTAACAGATTTAATCCTGGCAGCTACTCTGACGGAGGTAAAAGTCAAGTCACTTGCTTAAGATTCATTTTTATGCTTGCCTTCAATAAAGGCCAACAAACAAAACTTCATTTTGCACTTGTGGTGCAATATAAAACAAAGCTAATTAAGTATTTTTAAAAAGTTAATACTGGAAGTATGAGGCAGAAGGACTGTGAGTTTGAGCCCAGCCAGGGCAACTTAGTGACTAAGCAAGACCCTGTCCCAAAATAAAAGGCTGGGAGTGCAAAGGCCTGGAGTTTAATCAATACTGAATACCAGTACTGAAGAGAAAAAAAGGTTAATCCTTTGAGAAGAAAAAACATTAAGTGAATAGCAATGCAGGGAACAGTTAACATTTGAATATGCACAAAATTTTGAAGGTGGTACTCAAAAGCATCCAACCAGGGACACAGTGACTTAGTCATCTGAGCTCTGTCTTAGCTTTCCCACCAGATGTTGAGTAAATCTGTTTGACTCATCTCTGCTGTTGATCTTGACATTTGCAAAAGGCTCTCAAAGAACTTTCCTGGAATGTAAGTGAGTGAATGAATGAATGAAGGAATGAATGAATGAATGAATGTGAGACCATCCTAACCTGCACCAAAGTGCACCAAAAGTAGACAGGTTGGATTATCTCTTTTGTTTTCCTGTTTCCCGCAAATCCTCCTCCAAAGTTCTCAGAAACCCACTATATGAGTGCCACTCTCAGAATCCTCTTGGGTTCCTCCCAAGTACAGGTGCTCCCTGCAAAAGGTCCTCTGCTCACCCCCTATTGGCCCAGCAACCAGAACCCTTGGGGTGTGGCTGGGCTAAGGGTGGAATCAGGAGGCAGAAGGAGGAATGTGTGCTACTTTTGGCCAGTTGCCACAGAGAGATCAAGAAGGAGGTGTTGCTATGGTGACCAGAGCATCTTGCAAGGTGATGGGTCCCATCACTGCAGGCTGGGTAGGGTCCTGTGTGAGGCTTGAGGTTTGGGCCCCCTTTTGACTCTCTCTCCTCCCTCTGTACCTCCTCTTGTGACTCCTTCAGGGCTGGCTTCTAGTCAAGCTGAGGGTCCCTCTCAGGGACAGGGACTCAGGCCCAGTTGCATTCATGCATCCTCTTTCCTTTTGCCCCTAACCCTCCCTCCTTTTCCCTGGCAAGTGAAAAGAACTTCACTTTCCTCCCCTTCCTCTCCCCAACAGTTCATTAATTCATTTCCCTAAGCAGCCTGCAATGCACAACACGCTTTTCCTCTCCTGGGATTTCCCAAGACCTGCGGTCCCCTCTTATGCTGTGTCTGGGAAAGGGGGGTTGCTGAGGCATCTGCTCCCGCCTCAGTCCGTCTGCTGCCATCGATCCTACTAACCGCCACCGCTGCGAAAAGCAGCCCTGGGCTCCCGCCAGACCTGCCAGCTCAGCCCTGCCCCCTGTCCCTAGGGTGGTTCCAGCCTCTGCAGCCCCCCCCCCACCCCGCCCCGATTTGCATTCTGCAGATATGGCTCAGTGCAGCAGCCCCTGCCGGCTGGGAAAGAGGGTTAGGAAAGGAGCAGTCAGGGTGGAATTGGGGTTCCCTTCATTGCCAAGGGCTCCTCAGCATCCCTGGCCCTGCCTCCAGTGCTGGAAACCCCTGTCCTGTCCCCTCCCCTACTGAAGCATTCTGTGGCCTGCTCCTCAGCAGAAGGAAGCTCACCAGAGGGATTGCTAGGTGCAACACGGAGAGTGAGTGATTAAGTGGATGTATATCTGGGTTAGCGGGTGTCAAATGTAAGTGGTCTGCTGCAGGACGAGGGTGGGAGGAACATCTGTGTGCACACCCAGTTGCACATCTGGCACTGGAAACTACCGTTGGCTGTAGGCTGGGAAAGAGAGTCGCACCATGCCATTCCCACTCATGAGGTTCACTGCAGTGGTTCGGGCCCCACCCCACGCGTTCCCCTTTCTGTTCCTTTCTCCGCTTTTCTCTCTCCTCATTCCATAGTTGTCTCAATCCATCTATCTCTCTGTCTGATTCTTTCTCTGCATCTTCCTGTCACTCTCTCTGACACTCTATCTATCCTCCTGGGTCTTTGTGTCACTGACTCTTGTATCTCTTGCCTGTCTTGGTCTTTTTCTGTCTCTTTCAGATTTTCTTAGCCAACCCTTACCCCATTTTGTCTCTTCTTTAGCTGTTCCTCTTTCCCTAGGAGCCTGCCTGTTCAGGATTTCAGGAAGCCCCCACCATAGACGTCAGTGCTGGTCTAAGGGGGATGTGGACTGCCCCCGCCCTTGCCAAATCCGTGGTCCTGAAATCTTACCTCTCTGGCTACACACCCATAGGCTCCCAACCCTAAAGCCCATCTCTTCCCCACCGCTACCACCACTTGGTGGACCAGCCATCCGGTTTCCATAGCAACCTGTCCGCGCATCCTTTCTCCTGGGACTGTCACACTCTAATTGTAGATCCCGCACCGCCAGGACTACATCGCCAGGGAGCGGGTGTCCCAGAGCCCTCAAGTGGCCTTTAGGAGTGTGCAACAGAGGGCTCTGCTGGGGAAGCAGCAGGCACCCCTTTCTCACCCCCCTCCCTTTTCAGGACTAGAATTTCTTCACACCCTTTCTCTTCAGCTGAGTTACCGGAGCCCACCCTCACCGGCCCTGACGCCCACTTCACAGGCAACACGCTCACCATCTGTAGGGCTCTGAGTTGGGGTCGCCATGCTGAGCAGGAGCAAGGGGCTGCTGGGTGCTGAGGCAGGCAGTGAAGATGCGGCTGCAGCAGCTGGAAGCAGGACAAACTGATGTGGGGGGGAGATGGGGGAGCCTCAGTGTTGGGGGTGCCAGTAGCCAATGGGGGCCCAGGGAGCCCGCCCTCATCCAGGTCACCCCCGCCCCGCCCACTGCCGGCGTCCCCGCCCCTTTCCCAAGGGTGGGGGCGCCCCCTGACTGGGCCATGGGGGCTCCCAGGTTTTCGCGCAGAAGGAGTGAGAGATCAAGGAAGCGCTGTCAGGAATAAAAAGCACGTTTTATTGGAAGTCTGGGCGGCAGGCGAGTCCGTGGGACGAGGCTGGGGGGGCAGGCGCGGTGGCTGGAGGCGCGCAGGTGGTGGGCGGAAGGCGACTGGTGCGGGGGGAATCCTGTGGGGGGAGAAGGGTGAGAGGCGCGCGGACCACAAGCTCCTCCCCGCCCCCGCCGTCCTCCCGCTGGGCACGGCGCCCCTCTATAAGCTTCCCTCCCTCTCTTCGGCCCTCCCCTGCCCGGGCTGAGCTGCAGGACCTGGCGGAGTCCCAGGCACCAGTTGTCTCTACCGCCTGCGGGTGGACAGACCTGCAGGGGACGAGAGAGTTCGGGTGTCTTGAGGGGCAGGCCTGTGGTTTGGATGGAGCCCCTTCTTCTTTGCGCCCAGGAAAAGCTAGGAAGGAGGTTCAAAACACCCGCCCTCAGCCCCAAACACCCGCAGGCTCCCCAAACTCACGGCGGATGGAGCTGCGGAAAGTTCCCTCCTCTTCATCAGGTTCCCCGGTTCTGGGAAGGGAGAGGCAGAAGGGATTCCGGATGGGAGAGGCGGCTGCTTCCAGAAAGCCGCACCGCCTCGCTGCGGGCCTCTTTTCTCACACTGCGTTCAGGGCCCAGATTCGGCGAGGGGCAGCCTGGAGGCGCCCGAAATGAGGAGCGTCCAGGCGCAGCTGAAGTATGTGGCCAGAGGCCTTCCAAGCTAGTGGTGGTGAGGACCTCCGGGACGTCGGGGTAGGGATCGGAAAAAGGGTGAAGGGGCCTCGAAAGACCGCGAGGAGACGCCTGGGTTGGAACCCTAACCCTATCCCCCAAAGACAGAGTAAATGCCTTTATCTCCCTGAGCCTCGGTTTCCTCATATGTAGAGTGGAGTTGATGACGCTGACACTTACCTTTTAAAGACGGTGTAAGGGGTAAATAAAACAACAGACAAGGACCAGTGGCGCACAGAACACGCCCAACGCATATGAGCAACCATGTTCATCATGGTTGTAACAGGCAAAGGTATTCATACCTTGCTTGAGCTTTACATTTTTATTTAAAGATGAACCGACGCGCCAGGAAGAGAACTGCGAGCTAAACTGGGCCACGCGTGAGGTGATCTCATTTCTGAGCAGCTTGCTCTTTCCTTGCATTTTTGTGTCGTCGCACTTTGTGATTTTACACCTGTATGGCAGTTGGAACCCACGACTACCACCCACACTGGGCTGGGACCTGGGCCAGGCGGAAGTGAGGTCCTCATTCTGTCCCAGGACCTGACCTGGGGCCTGTCACATAGTAGGTGCTTACTACGTGCTCACAGAAACAGGTTGGGAAGATTTCCTGCCTCTTCCCCTAATCCCCTCTAGAGCCGGGAGTAGGCGGGTGAGGACGGGGAGGGGCCTCTTACTTCTGCTGCTGGTTGAACTTGCATCGGCACCTCTTGCCTGTCAGGATGAAGAGGGGGAGCAGAGGCTGAGCCCCTCTGGGAGGCTCCTGGTTGCGCTCCTGGTGCAGTGCGCCCACGGGGAGGGTGGGGTCGCGCGGGGAGGGTGGGATGGCGGGGTGGCGGGGCATGGCCTGGAAAATACTTGGGCAGAGTGGGCGTGGCCTGCAAAGCGTGGGCGGGGACGGGGGGGCAAAGGGTAGGCGTGGCCTGATGGGGCGGGGCGGGGCGCAGCGCAGCCACTCACTGAGGATAATGAGGATTCCCAGAATGAAGAGGATCCCGGCTACAGTGAGGCCTCCGATCCGTAGGGATTTGTAGTCTGTGGGCAGAGAGCAGGGTGAGGAGAGGGAGAGGAGGATGGCGGCCGATTGGGGAGGAGTGGGCAGGGCAAAGAGGAGAGGAAGAGGGAGATCAGCAGGGGTAGGTAGATGTAAGAGCAGAGGAGAAGGGAGCAGGGCGGGAGGTGAGACACACCAGGTGCCTTAGTGTTAGGGTTAGGTGGGGGAGGACCGGAAGGTGGAGAGCAGGAGTGGGACTGGGAGAGAAGGAAGGGCAGGACGGGCTGCGATACCGAGAGACTCAGTCCAACACAGACAGGCAGAGAGGGGATCACACAGAAACAGACGCCAGGACAGCCAGACAAGGGAGGGAAGACAGCCAGAGCAGGGAAAGAGAGAAGAATGACAGAAATATAAACGGAGAAAAGGGAAGAGCAGACCGAGGCCATGCCCCGGCTTTCCCTCACCATAGGTGAATGGGTCGTGCTCCTGTGGCGCTTCTGGAATGAAAGAGAAATCAAGGGTTAAATGCTACTTGGGATCGTGGACCTTGGGAAGGGGCATGAGCAGACCATTTCAGGGCTCTGCCTTCTTGGGCTGAGAATTCGGAGGTCTGGGGCCCTAGGCGCTGCCCATCCTCTCTAGGTCCTAGCTGTCCCCTCTGTACTATCCTGGGTGAGGTGGGACATCTTACTGCCCCAGCACCCTGATGTCGTCTGTCACTCCATCATGCAATCCAAGAGCCAGCTTCCAAGCGACCCCTTCCTCTGTCTGACCCAGAGCACTCTCTCCCCTCCCCTAAAAGCCAGCCTGGTGTTCCAGCTGAGTTCATTTAGGGCGGGGTCTTCCATTTGGTTCTCGAGTTGTGGCCCACCCCTAGACCTCTCTTCACTCACCTGCGCTGGCCGTGCTGAGGAGAACCAGGAAGACAAGCAAGACATCACTGAGGGATGCCATTGTCCTGAGAAAGAGCAAAGAGACAGGAAATGTGTACCCTCACCTCTCCCCACCCCCCAATCCAAGGGGTTAAGACAAAGGCAGTCTAAGGACTTAGTCAAGAAAGTGTTGGTTACCCAGCTTAGTTGCCTGAGAAACAGAAACCCTCTGCTTCTCAGATTGGAACCATTTCACCAAAGTGACTCACATAATGGGGGTCACCTGCGACACTGCACAGCGAGGTCAGAGGTGAGACACTCAGTCCACAGACCTCTCCACAGGCCTCCACCTCCACAACAGGGCCCGAAATCCCCAGACCTAGCCCAGCAGGGGAGTCAGGATGCCACCTCACACAGGTGGAGAGACACATGCAGCAGGGCACACCGCAGTCCCACCTGCTCCCCACTCGGTGGCCTCGCAGTATCCCGGACAGCTGCTGCTTTCCTGCCCTAACGCCCGCCCGCTGTCTGCTTGACCCTAGGTATAAATATCTCCCACTTCACTCTGGAGGAATTTGACTCACTGAGGCCACCATGGCAACAGCCTCCCCCCCACCTGGGGGGGGGTCAAGCACAGCCCTGCTGGGGAAGGCCCAGCTGCCAAGTGGCCACAGGCTGCCCCTCAGGTCAAGGCCACCCAGCCTGCTCTCCTCGGAACCATGAGAAAAGGGAAAACACTCCCTTTGCCCGCCTCCGGGTGACATCTTTCATAACTAGGCAGCTCAGGCGTGTGACATGAGGCCCACACTTGTGGGCCTAGGAGAAAAAAGACAGATGCCAGGACCAGGGATGCACTTGCAAATATGCGTGTTACACACACATACACACACAGAGTGATGGGGCTGGATTGGAGTCAGACAACATCCTTTCCCCAAACTGCTAGCTGGAAGAAGGTGGGGTGTAGACACAGTCAAACACACATAAATCTTCTCTGGGCCCCCAATTCCCCCAAACAGTGACACAAACAGACCTCCATGTGTCTGAACCCCACGCCCAGCTAGGGGGCTCACACAGCAGCAAAAGGAGGAGCCACACCCTCACCCCCATGCCTGCAGCACCCTACTGTCACACTCTCCTCCTTCTTGGGCCAGGCAGGCCTGGGAAGCCACAGGCTGGCCACTCCTGCTCCCAAAATAGGCTGCCCAGCCAGGGAAGGGAAGAAGTATGGAAGGGGTGGGGGAGGCTCACCCCAGTCAGGTTGTCCCCTGCTGAAAGAAGGCCCCCAAAAGTCCAGCTGTGCCCCTGGGGGCTGAGCACTTTGGACCCCCTGGCCCAGCGCTGCATGCGCCACCCCGGCAGGCTCCCCTCCTGGCCCCACCCCACCTCTGCCCTCCCCAGCCAGCAGCTGTAACTGGAGCCCGGGCTGGAGGGGGGCCAGGGGGCGGCCCCCAACCCAGACTGCCCTGGTCCGCTGCTAAGTTAACTCTCTCAGCTCAGACTGAGAAACAGCAGGCAGCCTGGCAGTGTGGACAAACACATACACACTCACCTCGGCAGAGTGCTGAGCTGGGGCAGGGAGTGACTTCTGCGCCTTTTCCTAAGGATGGGACAGCTGGGGCCTAAAGCCAGGCAGTCGAAGTGCTTAGGAGCGTACTACCTCTGACCTCCGCGTTCGGTTGTCAGTGGTGAAAGCCTTAACAGGACTGTCAGCCTGTTCACAGCGGGGAACGAGGAGTTAGTGTATGTGCTGTCTGCTGCTGCCCAGGATTCCACCAGACACACACACACAGCCATAGAGAAACCCAGAGATACAGATACACAAGCAACATTTCTCAAATGCAAAAGACCAAGACCAAAAGATCTGTGCACATGTGCACACTCGTGCTGAACTGACTTCTATTACAGAGACACTGGTAGCCACACGTCTGTCCACTCTTACAAACAGAAACAAAGATACACATTTCTGTGAAGATATGCTCACAAATGACCCTACAGGAATGCATGGGTATACACAAAACACATGAAATCATTCAAAGGCACCGACACAGCCAACAAAAATGTGAAGGCCAAAGACCTTGTATACACATAGACCACATTTACTTGGCAACACACAGCAGATACTGCATCAAGGAGAATGCCACATACTCAGGCACTCTGTCCATGGCCACAGACAGACACACACACTGTGCTCAACTTCACACACAGGCAGACAGCACTCAACTGGCCACACAGTCACAGATGCCAAGGTCTGACACACCGTTCACACACTCCAGAACCACAGTGATGTTAGCCTTGAACTTTTCTTTCCCTAGACGCCTGTGGCCCCACAAAGAAAACATTTCTGGTATCTTCATGGGCAAATCAGGACCACAGGCGCTGGTAACAGAGAAACCTAGAAGCAGGATTGAATTCTGCACTCCTGGTTGTGTGATCTTGGGCAACCATTGGGCCTTCCTTGGCCTTCAATTGCCTGGGTTATAAAACAGAGAGATAGTTAAGGTCATACACGTACCCTGGCCAATCTCAGAGGTCTCTTGACATCATCATATTAACTCCACTTGTTGTTGTTGTTGTTGTTGTTCTTTTTGAGACAGGATCTCTCTTTGTGGTTCAGGCTGGCCTTGAACTCATAGTGATCTTCCTGCCTTAGCCTCCCAAGTGCTGGGATTACAGGTGCATACCACCATGCCTGGCCCAGCTCCATTTTAGAGATGGGAATACTAAGGTTTAGCCAAGTAGAGCTAGTCCTTGAGCAGTCCCCCTGCTGGTAAGAAATAGAAATGCCCCACACTGAAACTCAGAAGCCTGCTCAGACACTACCAGACAGAGTGGAGAGCACTTACACAGGTTCACATCCTCGCAGGGTGTCACACCACACACTCACACTCACTGTCACACACAGAGGCACCTGATCTCAGACAACCCAGAGAGCTTTGAAAGGCTCCCATATCCCTGTCATCTGAGCCTTCTCAACCTCTGCCCTTAGTGGCCCAATCCCCCAGGGTCACCAGCCCCGTTCCTGGTTAATGATAACCCTGCTGTTTATGCAGCACTGGGGAATGGAGACAGGGGACCCAAAGGGCCAAACAAGGAGGAGCCAGCTCTTGGCCAACCCAGCTTCCTCCCCTGATGGGTCTAACTCTAGAGCCCTGGGTCTCAGGGCTTCCCAGCTGTGTCCTGCCACCAATGACTTAATCTCTCTGTGACTCCACTGCTCCCTTTATAAAATGGAAAGGAAAAGAGTACTCACCTCAAAGGGAGCTTGAGATGATTATCTGAACAATCTAGAACAGTGAGAACAAAACCCAGCATACTGTGATTTTTTTTTTTTTTTTGTAAGAGTTAGCTGTCTAGCTGGGTGCGAGGGCACATGCCTCTAATCCCAGCACTCCAGGAGGCTGAGGCAAGAGGATCACAGGTTTGAGCCCAGCCTCGGCAACCAAGTAACTTAGTGAGATCCTATCTATCCATAAAGGAAGAAAGAAAGAAAGAAAGAAAGAAAGAAAGCCAGGAACGTAGCCCAGTACTGCAAAAAAGAAAGTTAGGCGTCATCATTGTCACATTTAGTTTACCGTTCTCACACACACCAGCGATCTTCCTCTTCTCTGTGTCTCTGGCACGGAGCTCTTCACTTACAGTTTCGAAGACCCTGTAAAGAGGTTCATCATACCTGCTTTTCAGCTGGGGAGCCGACAGCCAAAAAGCCTTGCTTGGATCACAAGCTGTTTTGGTGCAGGACTAGGACCTGGAGCCAGAGTTTATCTCCAAACCTATTGAACACTTTGGGGTTCCCACTCCATTCTGAACCCCAAGAAGGTGAGTTACTTTAATCATCACACTGAGTCCTCTGCTCCAACTGGAAAAAGAGTGCTACGAATGCTCCCATTTGACAGGTAGGAAAACTGAGAACCTAGAAGATCGAATGATTTGCCTGAGGCTGAACAAGACTGGGCTGCACCCTGGATCTCTACCTCCAGACTGGTACTGTTAAGCTTCTCATTCTCTGAGTCTACTTTAGGTATGCACCTCAGTGCAAGAGAGGCTATGTATATTCTCCAATCTTGGGATGTGATCTCAGACAGTGAGGTGAAAGTGACATCATGAGACTAATTATTTAACCTCTGTGAGGCTCAGTTTTCCCATCTGTAAAGTGGGCACAGTAATGCTACCCATCTCACAGGATTGCTGTGGGTACTTAGTCAATTCATGTAAAGACAGATACATAGTAGATACTCAGAAATTATTGCTAGGCCACAGTGAGTAACAAGTATAATTTTTTGTATTTATAGGATAGACAAGTATTGACAAATACTGATCTCCAAAGAAAGAAAGCAAAATAACGTGCAGAGATCGTGGAGCCAGCTGTCTGGATTTGAAGCATGGCTCTGCCTCCATCTGGGTCACACTGAGCTCAGGTCCCTTGCCCTCTATCCCCAGTTTCTCCAGCTGTAAAATAGCAAGGAGAATAGTACCAATCCCAGTGCTGGGATGAGTCAGTTGGTGAACGCCGAGGACACAGCTTGGTGCAGGCAGGCTGAAGAAAGAGATGGCACCCTTGCAGTGAAGTATTTCCTGGGGCTGAGTACCTGTCCCAAACGTGCCTGAGCATTTGAAGGGTTAATCTCAGGGAAAGGGAGGGAATTCCAGTGCTTGGGGCGGAGCAGCAGTCCTTCCAAGGGTGGCCACCAGAGGGAGCAGCGGAACCTGATCTGGCCCCTGCAAAATCTTGGAGCCAGCACCCACCACACCCTCTGGAGCCTGGGGAGGAGGCTGGCTAGGAGTGGCCAGGACGTCCCTCCTGCCCCAGTAGCTTTTCCTCCCACTCTCTCCTCCTCTCTGCGGAGCTATCAGTCCTCACTCTAGTGACATCCTCCTTGGGGTGGGGGAAACGGGCTAAGTGGGCAATCTGGGGAGGGGGCTGGCTGGGCGTGGCCAGAGTGGCTCCACCCCTGGGTTGCCCCGCCCCCTCCCAAGGAGCCCTTCAGTCCCTTCCCCAGGGCTGCGGTTCCTGTGGCCTCTGACCCCTCCCCCCCTTCCTACCCCACTCTGCCTGGCACACCCTGGGCCCAGCACGTCCCTTTCCCAAATCTTCAGGGAGAAGGGGCGTGGGAGGAGGCAGAGAAAGTACTGGGCTCTAGAAAGAGGGGGCAGGGAGCTGAAAAATAGGCACCAGGCAGAGGGACACGGGGACACACACACACACACACACACAAACACACACACACACACACACACACACACACACACACACACACACGCCAACAGAGACCTAAAGAGACAGAGGGAAACAGAAACGGACAAAGATAGAAATAGGGACCAAGATTGAGAGGGGGAAACAGACTAACAGAGGGAGAGGCAGCAAGGCAGAGAGAGAGAAAAAAAAAGACAATCAGCCGCCAAAGAGGTAGAAGAGAAGGGTTGCTGTGAGAGCCTGAGAGCCGGCAGAGCTCCCTGTGGCAGGGTGCAGCTGGGCACGAGAGATGTAGCACCCAGGCCAAACTGGGTCAGAGACAAGCGGTGGAGGGGGCCTAGGGCTGGGTCAGGGCCATGGCAGGGACAGGGACTCTGCTGCTGCAGCTGCTGCTCCTGGCTGGGGCAGGGGTGGAGGTGGCCTGGAGACCCCCAAAGGGAAAATGTCCTCTGCGCTGCTCCTGCTCCAAGGACAGCGCCCTGTGCGAGGGCTCCCTGGACCTGCCCGAGACCTTCTCCCCGACGCTGCTGTCACTGTGAGTGCCAGGCCCTCTGTGAGCCTGAAGGTGGGGATGGGAGTCCTGCAATCCAGAAGCAGGGGTGGGATGTCGGGGTCCCCCAGGTATTGGGAACCTATCAGGATCTTGGACAGCAAAGGATGTTGGGAGGCATGAAAGGAGGCTTCTGGGATTTGGAAGGGTGCAGGGGGAGTTCTGGGGCCAAAGGCTAGCTGAATGTTTGCCAGGACCCTTGCCGAGCAAGGAGGGCAGCTACCCTGGATATAACAGAATGCACCCTGGCTCAGGTCATGGGCTTCCAGAGAGCAGAGGCCTCTAGTTCAGGACCAGATCACTGGTGGGAGAGATTTTTTCTTCACCCACCCCTGCCCATGCAAATCCCCAGCTCACTCGTCAGGACTGGAGTCACCCAGCTGAAGACCGGCAGCTTTCTGAGGGTGCCATCCCTGCACCTGCTGTGAGTAGGGCCTGACTGGGCCAACCAAAGCTGCAGGGCGTGGGTGTTCACACATGGGCACGGGGACAGTGCACATGGTTGTCGCATGTGAAAGCATCTGTATCCCTTCACACTCTCACACCCATGCATAAGTGTGTGTGCATTTGCCTGTGCGGGTTGAGGGTGGGGCAAGGTTAAAATGTCAAGTAAGCATCCCCAACTCTAGAATGTTCTCCACCTTGCCCCCTTGCCAGCCTCTTCACATCCAACTCCTTCTCCACAATTGAGGATGATGCATTTGCCGGCCTGTCCTACCTGCAGTACCTGTGAGTGAGGTCTGGGGCTGGGAGGAGCAGCAGGGGTCTCTCTGTGGCTCCCAGAGTAGGGGAGGTAGAGGCTGGGGCCGGACAAGGACCAAAGAAAAAAATATTAAATGTCCAGAGATGTAAGGGGCTGGGGATTTAGCTCAGTAGCATAAGCACCTGCCTTGCAAGCAGGCAGTCATGAGTTCGATCCCTGATACCGATAAAAAGGAAAAAGACAAAAAAAAAAAAAAAAAAACCGAGATGTAGTTCCATGCAAAGGCTCTGAGCTCCATCCCCAGTACTGCAAAGGGAGGGAGGAGAGGAAAAACAATATGGTGGACTCAATGGTTATGGTGCTATCAAGTGTGGCACAGTTGTACCGACTCCCAGCATGGTGGGAGTCGGTAATCTCGGTGTCAGTGTTGATGCGGGGAATGGGTGTGAGGAGGACGTTGGCGTTGGTGTTAATAACAAGGTACCATAGCTGATGCTGGGTTTGTTGATGATGGAAAAAGTGTTGGTATTTATGAAAACAGTGGCAGTCATGATGCTGGTAGTGGGTGACATGCGCGTTGAGAATAACAGCGATGCGGCTGGCACAGGCACTGCTGGTTTGTAATAATGGTGGTAGAGGGCCCGGGATTTGGCTCAGTAGTGTAAGCACCTGCCTGACGAGCATGAGATCATGAGTTCGATCTCCGGTACCAAAAAAATCTTTTGGGGCCAAGGACTTAGCTCAGCGGCATAAATGCCTGTTTGTAATAATGGTGGCAAGACTGGCGAGGATGGTGGTAGTCTTTTGGTCCTGATCATGAAAGGTGCATAGTGATGCTTATTGATGCTGTTGGTAGAGCTCACAGCAGAAGAGGTGGTGATATTGGTGACCATGGGGACCATGACAGTTATTGGTACTGGGGTTGGCAATGGTGATAGACACACAGGTGAGATGCCTGTGACAGTGGGGGCAGCGTTCATGGTGAGGTTGGCAACAATCGCAGGGCAGGTTCTTGGCTCCTGGAGTCTTGCGCTGGGCATCTGATAAGCAGGCTTTCTCTGGAGCTGGGCAAGGTGGTAGGGTGAGGAGCAGCTCCCCCAAGCACTGTAGTCCTCCCCCTCACCCCACTTTCCCTCCACAGCTTCATTGAGGACAACAAGATTGGCTCCATCTCTAAAAACGCGCTCAGAGGACTTCGCTCGTTGACACACCTGTGCGTGCCTCTGCTCCCTACCCCCAAGGGGCACCACCCCCAGCCCCTGGCAGCTGCCGACCTTCCTTCTCCTCTCTCTCCCCAAGAAGCCTGGCCAATAACCACCTGGAAGCCCTCCCCAGGTTCCTGTTCCGAGGCCTGGAGACCCTGACTCATGTGTGAGGCTCAAGGGGGATGGGGGAGTGAAGGGGGAGCTCTGGGAGTCCCCTGGGCCTGCTTTGGGTCAGCACAGGAGCATGTCTGTGCAGACTCTCACCTATTTTCCTACACCCATGGGTGCTATCCCACCCAGATCCTTACCTGGGGAGGGGCCCGGGAACATGGCCCCAAGGGGTGAATCCCAGGTTGTAGCCCCTCCCTGGCTTCTCGCCCCAGGGACCTCCGTGGGAACCCCTTCCAGTGTGACTGCCGCATCCTGTGGCTCCTGCAGTGGATGCCCACCGTGAACGCCAGTGTGGGGACTGGGGACTGCGCGGGCCCCCCGGCCCTGACTCACATGCAACTCCGCCACCTGGACCCCAAGATGTTCAAGTGCAGAGGAATAGGTGGGGGCTTTCCCAGCAGAACGGGAGGGACAAGGAGGGTCCCTGAGCAGGAGAGAAGAGGCAGAGGCTACCAGGGCTGCAGCACTGACCTCACCCCTGCCCTGCCACTTCCTGTCTGGGAGACCTTGAGCACACAGCATTATCTATTGAGCCTCAGCTTTCTCATCTGAAAAATGGGGGTAATAAACAGTGACAGAGGATTGCTGTGAGGACTGAATGATGTGTCCATGCCTGAACAGCATACGACACAGGGCCTGGTACAAGAGGCCCTTGCTGATACCACACAAACCATTTTAAAAACTCTTCCTACGTGCCAGGAACTGTGTTGGGACCTGCATGTGTCATGTCACCTCACTTGTATTTACTTTCCTTTTGCTTTCCCACAAATAGTTTCATACCTCTTTGGGTGCAGGGCAGTGCAGAGAGAACAGCAATGGCAAACACAGCCCCTCACAAAGTCCATGGTCCAGAGAAACTAGGGCACCCCAAACAGTGACCACCCAGATGATCAGAGCTGCAATAGGAAAGGCACGGAAAGAGGGGTCAGATCAGACCAGAGGAAGCCATGGGAGCTGAGGGCCAGGCCAGGGCCACACAGAGCTGAGAGTCTTACTCAAGGGCTGGCCCTGAAGTTTTTGACACAGATGCTATTAATAAAATAAAAATAGTAACAGTAAGTAGCTGGGTGTGGTGATGTGTACCTGTAATCTCAGCACTCTGGGAGGCTGAAGCAGGAGGATCACAAGTTTGAGCCCAACCTGGGTGATTTAATAAGACCCTGTCTCAAAATAAAGGAAAGGAGACTGAGGATGTCACTCAGTGCGAAGACCTCAGATCAATTTCCAGTTCCATAAAAATAGGAGTAGTCGTAGTAATTATTATCTGTATGTAAGACATGTCTTTTGATCTGTGGACCTCACAGAATGGGAGACTTAACTCAAAGACTCATCGTTTTATTTTTGCTATGTTGGGGATTGAGTCCAGGGCCTTGAGTATGCGAGGTAAGTGCTCTGAGACTGAGCTATTCCCCCAGCCCAGGGGTCATTGAGTTATTCAACAAACATTCATTGAGATCCACACTGCCTGGCCCTGTGAGAGGCAATGGGTGCCCTGGTGACCAAAACCGCCAAGTCCTGGCCTCCTGTGATTTCTAATTCTGGGAGCTTGGGTAACAGACGCTGAAAACATGGCCTAAGTTGTGATGAATACAGGAAGCAAAGAGATAATTCTCTTATGGGCATCAGAGAAGGCTTTCCTATGTTTAGCTAGAAGGAAAAGAGAGGAAGGACACTCAGTAGAGAGAGACCAGCATGAGTGATGGCCCTGAGGTAGCTGGAGCTTGTCCTGTTTGATCACAGGAAAGCAGCTGTGCAAGGGGGCCTGCGGGAAGGAGGGTCACCGAGGTCAAAGGTGGCAGGGGCCACGCTGCAGGACTTTGAAAGCCAGTTACCATGGAAGCTAAGCTTTCTCACAAACAGGCTCAAAATACCAGAGTCGGGGAAGACAGATGGGACCAAGATGTGCTGCCCGGTGGGTAGGAAGGCTCCTGTGTGGTATCCTTGTTTTTGTGGTTGAAGCCGGGCTGTAGCATATCCCTGTAGCAGCTTGTCAGAAGGAAGGGAAGGAGGACAAGTCCCAGACAAGCCGTTTTCACACAAGCAAGTTCCGCCTCTGTCCATTGGGAACTTGGTCTTAACATGCCCACACCTGACTCCTGGCAGGGTGTTGCAGGGGTGCCACGGCGGTGTGATTTCAGGCTGAGCTTCCTGGTGGGCAGCTGCTCATGTCACGGAAGATCAGAGAGATGGAGTTTTGTTGGACTACTGGCTTCCTGGGTACTTAGCCTCAGCCTCCTCACCTTAAAGACCATAACAGAACACATCTCAAAGGAACGTTACTAACTTAAATGAGTGATTACCTGTAATCCCAGCACTGTGGGAGGGAGAGGAGGGAGGATCCCAAGTTCAAAGCCAGCATGAGTAATTTAGCAACTTAGTGGGGTCTTATTTCAAAATGAAAAATAAAAAGGAGCTGGGGATGTAAGTCAGTGCAAAGGCCCTGGGTTCAATCTGAGCACCAGTACCAAAAAAAAAAAAAAAATTAAATGTTTTTTTCAAGGGATTAATGATAACAAACATCTTAGAAAATATAACTCCCTTTATGAGTTAATATATGTATAGATTATAAAGATGTGTTGCTATATAATCCTGCCCCATGAATGACTATCTTGCAGAAATAGGTAAACTAAGGCTTCATGAGGACCCTTGGGGTCTCCTGGGCCTGCTTGACTCTCCCCTGCCACCCCCAGAGCTGTCCTGGTTCCAGACAGTCCGGGAGTCGGCACTGGGTGTGGAGCCCTTCTCCTACCAGGGGGAGCCCCACATCGTCCTGGCACAGCCCTTTGCAGGCCGCTGCCTGATCCTGGCCTGGGACTACAGCCTGCAGCGCTTCCGGCATGAGGAGGAGCTATCAGGTGAGCCCCCTCGATGCCCCCTTGCCTGCCCCCAGCCTGCCCCAAGGCCTGACCGCCTCCCGCTGCCCACAGCGCCCTCGGTGGTGTCCTGCAAACCGCTGGTGCTGGGCCCGCGCCTCTTCGTGCTGGCTGCCCGCCTGTGGGGAGGCTCACAGCTGTGGGCAAGGCCCAGCCCCGACCTGCGCCTGGCCCCGCTGCAGGCCCTGGCCCCACGGCGGCTGCTGAGGCCCAATGACGCTGAGATCCTGTGGCTGGAGGAGCAGCCCTGCTTTGTGGTGGCTGATGCCTCCAAGGCAGGCAGTACCACACTGCTCTGTCGAGACGGGCCTGGCTTCTACCCCCGCCAGAGCCTGCACGCCTGGCACCGGGACACAGATGCTGAGGTCCTGGAGCTGGATGGCCGCCCTCACCTGCTGCTGGCCTCTGCCTCCCAGCGCCCAGTGCTCTTCCACTGGGTTGGTGGCCGCTTTGAGAGGCGCACGGACATCCCTGAGGCCGAGGATGTCTATGCCACACGCCACTTCCAGGCCAGCGGAGATGTGTTCCTGTGCCTGACGCGCCACATCGGGGACTCCATGGTGAGGCTGGACCCAGCCAGGTGGGCAGGCAGCCAGGCTTTCCAGCATGACCCTCCCATGGTGGGCCTTTCCACACTGAGCCTTTTGGGCACACTCACCTCTAACCTTTGACCTGGCCTCACATGCTGACCTTTGAATTCTGACCTTTTTCCAACTTGGACTCCAAAGTTGTACCCCCCTCAAGTGTAGCTGACTCTAAACCCCTCTCCCTGTCCCCATACTGACACTACTCTCACTGCTCCCAAGATTGTGTTTACACCCCCGGCCACACACACACACACACACACACCAGCTCTGGCTCAGTAACTCTGACACATTCTGGGATGTTTAACCACAGCCTCGCCTCTCCCCACCCTGACCCAGACCCCAGGGCTGACAGTAGTGATAGGTCCTGCCCATCCTGTACTACCCTCACCCCAGGCACACTTTCCTGAGTAAGGTGCAGCTAGCAGAGGGTTCTCAGTCTAGAAGAATCTGGAAGTGAGGAACAGACTGGAGATGGGTAGGAGCCTGGCACTAGAGAGGAGACGAGAGGTTGGAGGATGAGCTGAGGTGTGACCAGAGGAGGTGGAGAAATGTTATAACTGTTGCAGGGAAAACCAACGGGTTCTATTGCTGACTCTTTTATGTATGGTATGAGGATGAGGAAGTTCAAAAGAACAACTCTGAATTTAAGTCCAGAACGATGGTAGTGACATTAATTTTTATTTTTGGAGGCTACTAGATTGAACCCAGGGCCTCGAATGTGCTAGGCAAGTACTCTACCACTGAGCTACATCCCCCTCCCATGAGTGGTGACATTTATAAAGTTTGAAATGCTACAGGATGTTGGGGACCTGTAGGCCCGTTTCCAAGCTGTTCCAAGTCCTCCTAAGCCTTAAGGACAACAGGCAGGCCTGGCCCCCAGACCCTGGTCTTAACTAGCTGCCCTGCTCCCCAGGTCATGCGCTGGGACGGGTCCATGTTCCGCATGCTGCAGAAACTTCCCTCACGTGGCGCCCACGTGTTCCAGCCGCTGTTTATCGCCAGGGACCAGCTGGCCATCCTGGGGAGTGACTTTGCCTTCAGTCAGGTCTTCCGCCTTGAGTCAGACAAAGGGCTCTTGGAGCCACTGCAAGAGCTGGGGCCCCCGGCTTTAGTGGCTCCCCGAGCCTTTGCCCACATCACCTTAGCTGGCAGACGCTTCCTATTTGCAGCTTGTTTCAAGGGTCCCACACAGATCTACCAGCATCATGAATTGGACCTCAGTGCTTGACACAGGACAGGACCTTGGACATGGCTGGGGGCTGGCATGGGGAGCCTCAAGCATCTGAATCCCCTCTTAGCTAGACGTCTGGTGCCAGCCATTCCTGTGAGAGACTGACCACAGCCAAGTTCACCAGCCACAGGCCCAGGCTTTAGCCCACCTCTTGGAAGATCTGGGAAGACTGGAGTAAATGAAAATACACAGCTGCTGGACCTTCTGAGCTGACCTTCCAGCGTGGCACAGCATCCCAAGGGAGCTTGGGTTGGGGTACTGCAGGGAGCTGGGATACAGAAATCAAGGTAGGAGGAATGTGCAGGGCTCCGGTGATGTCTGGAGATTATCAACTAGCCGTCTTCCTACCTTCTAGCTCCCTATGAAACCTGTGGTGAGAGCAAATCTTTCCCTTTCAAACTCAGCCAGGCCAATCGCATCGATGGGAAAGTGCCCGCCTCCATGAGTCGCGGGGTAGTTTTCCCTCCCTGACCAAGTCATTCCTTCTGCTGCTAATGCGCATGTCTGCTGCCAGAAGCTGTTTTTGGCCTTTCCTCCTTGCGCGTGCATTGGCGTGGGTGGCAGATAAAGAAAATGGTGGGAATTGAGAAGTGTCACGAGAAGCCCTTGACACCTCTCCCCAAGGACGCCAGGTGAAAGGCAAGGAAGTATGTGAGCTCAATAAATGCACTGTGCATTCGCCCCTCAGGGTGCTGTGGGATCATTGGGAGAGGGGATTTTGCGAAAGGTATGAGGTGAGAGTGGTGTTTGGCACCTCCCAGGGTCTCTAAGGATTGTGGACTCACAAATATGAGTAGGTGGGGTACTTGTTGAATCTTGGAGTGTTAAGTTATGATTGGGTCACAAGTTTATTATGGGTCTCTTTTTCCAGATCATGTCGTAAAGAAATAATTAGATATTTTTGGAGTATTTTGGAGATTTGGGGAATTTTATGGGAGTGGTTGGAGAACATTTGGGGTACCTTATTGGCTATTGAGGAGTCTCAAGGGAATTAGGCTCAGTAGAGAATCTCACACTGTGTGCATTGTGTATATGCTGGGTGTTATGGGGACCTACTGTGATGTAACGATCTCATAGGGACATCTGGGGACTCAAAAAGGTCTCATAATAAAGTGGAGTCTCAGGGGATGAGTGAGAGGGTCACAGAGGTCTTACTATCATAGTCATACTATTGTCCACTCCGGAATGGTGGGCTGACCCTGTATCCTTGTTTTTCTGAGATGTGTCCAGTGTCCATCTGGGTGCCCCAGCAATCCATCTTGTTTAGGGTTCTCATTCATGAAAGTGTCCCCCAGTTTGCCACTGGAACTTTCTTAGCTGCACATGAGGTTCCCCTGGCTGAGCAGGCAGGGAGCAGGCCCTGTGAACTGCAGCCAGGCCGTGAGACCCTGGCCTTTTCTCACCCAGAGAATTAGCTCTCAGCTCCTGTGCCACCCACCTCCTCCTACCCACACCCCTGACCCCAGCATGTGCACAGGGAGTGTTGTGGGCACCTTGACCAGAGACAAGATCATTTTATATTAAACACTGAACACCGAGACCCCTTCCATGACAGGTAAGATGCTGCCCTGGCAAGACGTCTGAGGAGAAAAGAGGTGCCACCCTTTGGGCAAGGGTCCTGTGCAAAGCCAAGATGGACACTGGGGCTCTTCTGGTTGGCTGGTCCTCAGCAGTTGTGAGCAGAGCCTGGGAGAGGTGATGGGGTCAGCCTGAGAGCAGGCAGAGTCCTTTTTCCCCAGCGCACGCATGCATTGCCCACACCACTCACTCCCCGTGCTCCCCTCAGCTGTGTGCTGCCTGTCTTACCTGGAGTGATGAGAGGTGGGGCATCTGCTGGATGGTGACTGAGGAAGTAAAAAATAGTGAGATCCACATCCACCCCCATGGTCCTGTCCCTCGGGGCTGGAGACATCACAGTTGACCAGACACAGCTTGCTAGCTGTGTTTCCGGTGTTGGTTCATGCAGCACTAAGGTTTATGCGGCATTTCAGAACATGGGGCCCTCTGGGAATCATTAGCTATGAAAAATAAACCTGAGACGTCTTCATGGCTGAGCCCAGAGGCCTATTCTCTGCAAGACTTAGCTCCTTCACCCTGGAAAGCGTAGTGCATGAAGCAGGCGTGCCGGGCACATCTTACCTGGGCTTTTGGCTGAACTTGCACTTGCATTTTCCACCTGTCGGGGCAAGGGAAGTGATCAGAGGAGGGAATGCAGAGCCCTGCCCGCCCCACCCCACAGCTCCTGCACTCACTCAAGAGAACAATGAAGCCGAGGGCACACAGGACCGCTGCGCAAATGAGTCCACCGACCCTGAGCCTGTGCCAGTCTGGGGGAAGAGCAGAGGGCACCTCAAGGCCAGCCCAGGGCCTACCCATCCGTCTCGCCCTGAGGGTGTGTCTTGAATGTCTACATCATGCAAAGCTCTGGGGATGTGGTAGTAAGAGAGCAAACTGAAACCCCGGCCAGGCTGGTGCACGAAGTCTAGTTTATATCTACACAAACAAGATGTTTCTTGTCGGGTCAGGTGGAGATAAGCAATGAGAAGGAAAATAACCAAGACAAGTGATGGGCAGTCAGAGCGCAGATCTTTAGAGTGATCCGGGAAGGGTTCCCTGAGGAAGCTGCATTGAGCAGATGTCTGCTGGAGGTGGATATGTGAAAAAGAAGTCCCACACACAAGGATGAGCAGGTGCAAAGACCCAGGGGCTGCAGCTGTGTGTTGCGATCTGAGGGTCAGCAGAAGGCCAGTGCGGCCGGAGCAGGAGCGAGGGGCAGTAAAGGAGGTGAGGGTGATAGAGCAGAGGAGGAAGTGTGGTGCAGTGGCATCTGAAGGCTAAACGATAATTTGGGTTGAATCACTCACCTCTTCCAGGAAGATGCCTCCTGTCGGCCCTTCTCCCAGCCACTGACTAAACTGAATGGCTTTCTGTAGACCAGCCTCACTTCCTGCCTGTATCTAACAGCCTTGCAGGCATAGAACCCTCCCCTGGGCCACACTGTCATTTTTTGTTCTTCTGATCCACTGCTTCTATGGATCAGTGGCCTAATTTCAGCTCCTTCATATTCTAGCCTCTGGATCACCCTTATCAGACCCTCAGCCAACCCCACGTGGCACTGCTAGTGCAAAATAGTGTGTGGGGTAGGGAGGTAATGAAGACCAGAGCTCACCATAGTAGAAAGGACTGTTCTTATCTGCAAAGAGAGTACAAGGCACGTGAATGCAGGACAACAGCTCACTGCAGGGGTCACAGGGAGAATTTGGGGGCTGAGTGGGACAGCTCCGACTCACCTTCTGGGTCATTGGCATCCAGAGCAGGCAGGCCTGGAGGAGGGACAAGCGGGGAGAAGGGAGATGGTGGTGCTGGCCTCAGCAGAGCTCTTGAGCAGGGCCCAGGAGCCTCAGGCCTCCCACAGGCACCCTGGGGACAGTCACAACCTCCTGAGGGTAGAGAGGTCCTGCCCCAGCCTGGCTGCCTCTGCATCATGGAGACACAGGCTCAGCCATGCGGCCCCGCACCTTTGAGCCACTCCAGAATTTTGCTGCCCAAAACAGGTTCTATTCTAAGCAGCCTTGCCCAGCATTTGGTTGAATACTTCTAGACACATGGCTAATTCAGGCCCCTGCAGAAAGGGAACTTTTCTCATCAAGATGACAGATGGCTTCCGTTCCCAGGGCTGCTCCCCCCACGCTGGCCGTACGCAGAGTCCACCTTCCCTATTCCACCACCTGCACACCCACCTGTCCCTGAGTTGGCTCACCATCACCCACCCCCCAGGCCATCAACTTGGAGGCACTTTAGGTAAACCTGCGGCCCTACACCCCTGCCCGAATGGACTCCCAGTCTTGCCCAATACAATGGACAGAAAAAAATGCAGTGAAAGCAAAGGGCAAGGGTCCCGTCTGGCTAAAAGCACCGCGCTGCCTCAAATCTGGGCCTCAGTGCTGGGAACGGGAGATTAATCATTTTTAATTATGTGTGCAGCACCGACATGTGTGCTGATTCTCGGCTAGGCACTGTTCTAAGTGCTTTTCAAATATTAACTTGTTTAGTGCTCGCTTTGGCAGCACATATTCAAATATTAGCTTGTTTAATCTTTGCAATGACTCTGCAAATACGTTTTGTTACTCTCTGGGTTTACGAATGGGGAAACTGAGTCACGGGTATTCTGGTTACTCTCTACATCACCACCAGGCTCAGAGATGCTGAAGGAACCCTGGGCTGAGCCTTCTCTCCTTGATGTCCTTAGATATACAAGTGACTTTTTCTAGCTGTGTGAGCTGCTACTATAAGAGGCCTTTGTCCTTGTGTGTCCCTTGAAATCATGAGTGTGACACTTCTTAGCTTTGAGGGGATGCTGTCCCCAGCAGCCACCCCTCACCACCCTGGGGAGAAGGAGCAAGTGTGCAGACACACAGCAGAGCACCAACCAGCTGGAGGTCCAGGGGAAAAGGCATTTTGGGGGCCACATTCTTACCAGCCAGGAGGACGAGCAGGTTCAGGGTTACCTCTTGCATGTCAGATCACTGCCCTAGAGGAGATCAGGCAGTGGCCCAGTTTTATCAGGGCCATCAGGGTGCCAGGCCCCTGTACTTCTGGCTCCCACCCCCCTTCCCCCTGCTCCACACCCACAGAGCACAGCCCAGAGTCCACGCAGGACAGTGGAGCTGAAGGAAGAGAGAGCCTCAGTCAAGTGGGACCGAGTGAGGACTCGGGCCAGAGGAAGGACTGCTGTGTAAGTCACTGGACAGGGCCTTTAGGCTCTTAAGAGTTCCAGCAACCAAATGAGGATGTGAGATGGGGAAACTGAGGCTCAAAGAAGTGAGAACTGTTGCCAGGATCACTTGGCTAGGAAGCAGGATTTCAACCATGCCTGGCTCCCCAATGGCTGGTCCTGACTTGGGGCCTCGGGGTGTTTTGGGAAGTAGGGTTTTGGGAGCCAGGTGGCAGGAGGCCCAGGTTCTGGGGAGTGTCCTCATAGACAGCCTGGAGCCTGCCCAGATCTGCCCAGGCTTTGTAGACGGGGTAGGGAGGAGCTAATGCCAGGCTGGGACAGAGGGTGAGGGTCCTGGCTGCAGCCTTCGCTCCATCTTCGTCCCCCTCTGTCCCTGCTCCTCAGCCCCTACACAGGATGCTGCCAGCTCTAGTCCTAGCCAGGCTCCTTCCCCATCCCAACTCTGACCCTGACCCTGGGACCACCCCGCCCACACCCATATCCCCCATCCCTGCCTCCACCCCAGGCCTTGCCCACTTCTGCTGCTGCACAGCACCCTCTTTCCCAGGGAGGCCTGCCCGGCACACAGAGCACTTTTACCTGGCCCTAGCCTGGTAGCCATGCTGGACGTCTGCAAAAACTTCCTGTACAGCCCCTGCCCACTCCACACCCGTGCCTGGCTGCTACAGGCACGCGGTGTCACGGTCTCGATAGCGAAAGCTAACACTCAACACGCCTGCCTGGTCCATTGCCCATGACCTTGCTGGGTTTTCACTCATTCAATTCCCAGCAGCCCCTGAGGTCATCCATCCAGTCCCCATTTCCTTCCCCCCCCCCTTCCTTCCTTTCTTTTCTTCTTTTCCTCCTTCTGAAGTATGAACACAGAACCTTTGCACTGAGCTACATCTCCAGCCCTTTTTTACTTTGACCTAGGGTCTCACTAAATTGCCTAAACTGGGCTCAAACTTGCCATCCTCCTGCCTTAGCCTCCCAGAGTATTGCGTCTGTGTCATTGCTTCTGGTCTCCTGCTCAGATTTCACCAATAGTAAAACTCATGCTCAGCGAGAGGATGGTACTGGAGGTTACCATAGTGCGGGTGTATACGGAGAGTTTTCAGACTCCTGCATCTCCTCATGACCACCCCTGGAGCCTGGGATTCCTCTTCGCCTTCCCACTTACTCCAGATGCTGGAGCAACTATCTTTTTTTTTTTTTTTTTTTTTTTTTGAGACAGGGTCTCACCATGTAACCCAGGCTGGCCTTAAACCTGCAGCAATCTTCCTGTTTCAACCTCCTGCTGCAACCTCCTGCCTCAGCCTCCTGAGCTTTTGCAGAAAGAGGGCCTTTGGCTTTAGAGAGCATTACCCAGGTAGCTAGGACCCCAGGAAGGTTTGGGGACAGCTGGAGTGGGTGGTGGGCAGGAGAACAGGCCCACAGGTGGACGGCCTGTTGTCTAAAGCCACCTCGGGAGTCTGTTTCCCCACACTGATACCTACGCTAACAGAACCCTCCGATGCTCGCCCCACGCAGGCTGTTCTCAGTGCTTAGCTCCGCTTCACTCTGTGAAGTCGGCACCATTGGGGCTGTGGAAAACTGCTCTTGCTCCCAGCTCATTCGGCTTAATATCCTGAGCTTTGTCACCCAGTGACGTTAGGGCTCATTTCTTAAGTCTCCTCCAGGATGCCCCTGGTCGGGGAGGCCCTGTGATCCCCATTCCCATGACGCCAGAAACCTCCAAGACTGGGAGGCAAGGGACGACTCAGCCATACCCCGGCCTCTGCCTAAGGTTTCCCAGGCCAGGTAGGGAGCAGGGCGCTGGGCATCTGCCCTCTCTGGTTGTCTGACTTCAGAGGCCTCTGTTTCCGAATGACCACAGCTGGGGGCATGATCTGAGAGGAAACAGGCTGTGCTGGGGGGCTCTGTCAGACCGCCTCTGATCTGACCCACCATGGAGGTCCTAACTCTGGCCCAAGGCCTGTTTGTGCTTCTGCCCTCCGCTGTTCTGCCATCTATTCTCCAAAACCAGTGGGGAATAATACCACGTTCCGGGATATGCAACAGTGTCTTTAATGAGTACCTACTGGCAACCAAAGGGTCGAACCCCTATAGCAGACTGCCTGCCTTTCAGCCTCCACCAGCTGTGCCCGAGGCCATGAGACAATATGGCAGCGCTGGCAAAACCACACAAGATGCAAACAGACCTCCCATGCGAGACTAGCTCCTCCCAGTGAGCCCTGACCACCTCTAAAGTCGGTGCACGGGCCTCCTTACCCGAAGCAAAAAGGCCTTTTGGGAGGGCAAAAGAAACGGGTTTGTCAAATTGCACCTTTAAACATACAATTTCAGACATGTCGTTGATGCCCTTGGGAGACCCGAAAGGCGCTAGATGATCCAGAAGGAGATGCTTTCCAGATAGTCCCATTTGCTGCCCCGACTTTTTCCCACGTCCTCAAACCCCGACAAAAACCCCTACCTCTCACCCTCCTGGCTCCATTCTTCTCTTGGAAATTCGCCTGCTGTTTCTCTTGCCTCTGACCTGAATAAACTTTATCCTTCTTTTTGTTCTTGCCTTGGTAAATTCTTTACCATTTGCATCATCAGCTCATTATGTGCTCTCACTGCAGCCTCCTCCTCTGTATCCCCCAAATCTCCTGACCAGCTCCCCATTTTATAGCTTCTCCAGGAGCCCCCATCCCTTGTCCTAGTATTCTCCGGGACTCACATGGTCCCAACACCTAGACATCCCCTGTCCACCCGTCACCCCCATTCAACCAATGCACCTAAATCCCCCTGATCTGTGTAGATACCCCACCCCCCAGCACCCCAATCCGTCCACATGCCTTCAATCTACCACATACTACTATCTCAGCTGTCCCAAGGCCCTGCTAAATGGGTCTAACCCTCACCCCAGCTGCTCAAGGCCCTCAGAGAACGATGGGGAAGGTCACCCAGGGGAGGAGAGGGACATTCTCCAACCTCCTGTTCCCAGAAAGCCAGAAGGGGACGGTCCCCAAAGGCTGTCACAGCAGAGCTTCTCTGTGGCAGGGGCAGTGAGGACAGAAGCGGGGGAGTTGGGGGCAGAGCCAAGGGGGACCTGGGAAGAGGAGACCCCAGTGCTCACCTGTGGCTCCCTCGTTGGGTGGAGAAGGAGGTGCTGAGAGAAAGCAGCTGCCAAGCCTGAGTCTTTATCCCCAGCAGCCACGCCCTGAGCAAACCTGGGCAGGTAGAGATGCAGCCCGGATCCCAGGCTAGGCAGGCGCAGGGGTTCCTCCACCACATTCCTCTCTTAAAGGGCCAGCTCCTCCCCCTCCCCAGCCCCTGAGACAAGGGAGCTCCCTGGAGTTACCAAGGCCATGACAGCCTCAGGTGAGGTGGAGGGAAAGCAGGACAAGCTGGAACTTGGTCCCTCAAAGTAGGGAAGGACTTTCTCTAATCTCCTGAGCTCTGAAAGAGACCTTGATGGGGGCAGGTGCTGGGGTCTTTGGTGGCAGACTTCTTCTGCCTGGCAGGCACATGGAGGAAGGTGACTTATCAGTGTAACAACCTTACTGCTTTGATTTAGTCTGTGTGTTTTGCTTGGGGAAGGGTTGCTGGTAATCCTGAGGGATATGAAGTCCCCTCCGAGGCCAAGTCTCCCTGTTGACACAGGTTAAGGATCGTGAGAAGATGCTGAGATGATCGTGGTCAGGCTATGAGAGAGACAACGCAGCAGCAGTAGGGGTCGGGGACACTGGGGGAGCTGTGGGACTTTAGGGCACACCTCCCACTCTGCCTTGGGGAGGCTCCAGAACTGCTCCCCAGAACCAGGCCAAAATCTCCTAGTCCTGGCTTCTCCCAAGGGTGCAGGGCCAGGAGGCCTGGGGCAGGGCAGCCTCCCACCCTAGATGAGGAGCCTGCCTGATCTAGACTCCCTCCTTGTGCTGCTCCCCATCCTGGCCCCTCCTTGTGGCATTCCTTCCGGCTGGGGTCTGAACAGGCCCCCACACGGTCCCTTGCTGGGGGTGCCCTCTCCCCGCAATTCCGCCTTCTGAGACAGAGGGACTTTTGTCCCGGGGGCTGGATGGAGAACAAGGCCCCATTGAGTGGCTGGTAAAGGATTGGGGTCACAGGGAGGGGCAAGGCCAGCCAAGGGCTGGTTGTACCCTGGCCACCAGCTGGACTCCAGGCCACCGCCAACAGCCTCATGGGGACGGGGATGAGGATGAGGGCCACAGGCGCCAGGCCAGGTAGAAAGAGGGTTTGGGATCACAACTCTGCAGGGACTAGCCTGTTGGGGGCAGAGAGAAGGACCCCTTATTGTCAGGGAGGGAGGGCAAGTACAAGCATTGCTACCCCAGATCCAAGCTTTCTTTATAGGCTCCCCTCTGGCAATTTCTCCCTTCCAGGACCGAGGACAAGGCCTCCAGCCACCCCCACTAAGGAGGGGCCAGGCCCTGCAAGGAAAGAAGGGGGAGCTCCAAGCAGGAAGCCCAGGGGTGACAAAAACAGAGGAAGCAGAGGTCCCAGGGAGGGTGGATGAGGGGGTGGTAGGTGGATCCCAGGCCAGTTAAGAGGTTCTTTGTGCCTGGTCCCACAACATCTCTTCCCCAGATCCATCAAGCTGGAAGGTCTCCCTTGAGGAAGACTTCCTGGTGGTCTTGGGAGTTGGGTGGTGTTGTCTCCCTCTGCTGGAAAGATCTGGAACTGCGGGCACCAGGGAGTTGGAGAAGGCTAGTGCCTGCCAGCTGGGAAGGCCGGTCCTTTACCCTCCTTGCCTACCTACCATCTGTGCTCTCAGATGCCTAAGGAGCCCGGGCAGGAATTAAGAATGCATTGAAGCAGGACAAGAGCGAGATAATAGGTGCAGGAGTAACTGGGTAAATTTGTAAAAGGAAGAAAACAAGATGTAGGGAAATTGCTGTGTGTTACCTTTTTGAGGCAGAAAGACTGTATAGGCATATAATCAAGTAGGAATAAATATCTTTGGAGTTGGTACCATGGCTGCTTCTGGAGAGGGGCCTTTGGAGGATGAAAGATGTAATGGAAGCAAGACTCACACATCATCACACGCCCGCTTGTACCTCTTGAATTGTTTTAATTGATTAATATTTTGAGATAAGGTCTCACTGTGGAGCCCAGGCTGAGCTTGAATTTGCAATCCTCCTGCCTCAGCCTCCCAAGTGCTGAGATTAAAGACACGCTCTACTTTCCCCTGCCCTCCTTTGAATTTTAGATCCTGAGAATATAAAGCCTTTCACAAATTAAAGGACATTTCAACACAGTTCTAGCCAGTGGCTGCTGTATTTTCAACAGATGTCAAAAATCTGGCTATTCATAGGGAATTTTCCATATTAAAGTTGGGCTCAGACATTAAAATATAATTGTGGAAGCCAGATGTGGTGGCATATGCTTTTAATTCCAGGATTCAGGGGGCTGAGGCAGCAGAATCACTGTTAAGTTTGAGGCCTCCTTGGGCTACCTAGTGAGTTCAAGGTCAGCCTGAATTATATAGCAAGAGCCTGTCTAAAAGTAAAATTATGAAGGTGAAACAAAACACACCCAAGGACTGATTTCTGTTTGCCAAGTTCATATTCTGAATCTTTGACCACCACGATCTTACATCCCCAATGAAGCACAGGTGTTTTTGGGACACTCCAGGCCACCTCAAATTCTTCTCAGGCTGGGCCTGAGTGTGCCAAGCTCACATATGCATAGGACTGCGTTGGGCTGGTTGCCAGGAAGCCCCTGAGACTCCTGTGTGCACTGGCACCCGAGACTGGGAGTAGGGAGTAAGGACAGGCTTCCTGCTGCCAGCAGTGATCCTCTGCAGGGTTCTTTCCTCCACCTCCACACAGCTCAGTCCTTCATCTTCTTTAAGTTCTGGCTCAAAGGCCACCTTCTCATGTGGCCTGCACCCTATTTAGAATCTTCTCCTCCATCCTGTCCTTTCCATTCCCCAGTGGCTTATTCTAGGAAACTTCTCTTTGCTCTCCTCGTTGTGCATCAGCCCCTCCTGTTGATTTTCATCTGAATTATGGACCCGTCTCTACTGCATGGTACTCATGGCATCTTTGTTAGTTGATGAGTGAAATGGTTCTTCTCCTTCCCTGGTTCCTCCACCCACCAAAAGGGCGGAGTTCCTGTCCGGGCAGGTGGTCATGGAGGACCAGACTTGCTGGCAGACCTAGACCAGCTAGCTTCAGTGGAGTGCTGGGTGGAGGCCAGGGGCCCCAGGTGCGAGCAGGAATTACTGGGAAGCAGGAGGAGGGTCAGCTACCACTCTGAGCTGCATGTAGCTGGGATGGGGGATCCCACATAGCAGCCTCTTCTCACCCTGCCCCAGGACCAAGGCCTCAAACTGGCAGCCCCAGGGCTAAATCCAATCATTGTTTCCTTGAATTCACAGAGTGTTACAGAAGATGATGGTTGTTGTTGTGGTTCCACAGTATCCTCAAAGTGCAAGGGCTGGAAAATCAGTTCCTAATGCAGCAATGTGGGGAAGAAGTGCCTGAGAGAGGTGAGCAGTCCTGAGGATGGATTCATGCAGCTTTACCAGGACGGTTCCTCTTCATCAGCTATGTTGCTCTAGAAGCAAGTTTGTCCCTTTTGCCGTCTTGTTTCCTCCATGTGCTACTCTTCTAGCACCTCCCAAGGGATGGCACGGCAGGAAGGACCTCATCAGATGCCCGTGCCATGTGCTGACTTCTCGGCCTCCAGAACCACAAGCCAGGTACATTTTCATGCATTATAACTTAGCCCATCTTGGGTATTCTGTTGCAGTAGCAGCAAGCAGACTACTGCATGCCAGGCTTTCTCTGCCTAATGTGCTTCTGTCAGGAGACCTGGCCTAACTGGCTTCATCCCCAGTTGTGACTGCTTTCCCCAAAAAGGCTTCTTTGGTCAACCAACAACAGCAGAAGAGGAAATAGGAGCTGGGAAAGACCAGAAACTCAGGGGAAAAACATTCTATATATGTGGAGTTGGGGAGGGAGACAGACAGACAGACAAACAGAGAGCGAGAAAGCAAATGAGGTAGAATTTTTTTCTTTTTGAGACAGGATCTCACTATTCAGTTCAGACTGGTCTTGAACTTACTTTGTAGCCCGAACTGGCCTTGAACTTAGAGTGATCCTCCCGCCTCAGCCTCCTGAGTGCTGGAATTACAGGCATGCATCACCACAGCTAGCTAATGAGGCAGAATATTAAAAATCGACCAATCTCCATAAAGTATATTCAGGTTCATTGCACTGCTTATGTAATTTTTCTACAATCAAAATAATTCTAACTAAGAGGGAAAAATTAATGAAAGTGTAAAATTAATGTTAACACAAAATAAAGAACCACAAGATAGAAAGCAACATCAAAAGAAGGAAGAAGAAATGAAAATTTAGAATCAAGTAACCAGAAAGTTAATCAATTTAACTGAATTGCAGAAAGTTAATCAATTTAACTGAATGTAAGAAATTATATATATATATATTTAATGTATAGATATGATGGGGGATTCTTTTTTTGGTAAAAGCCTGTGCTGTATCTCTTTTTCCCTTCATGGACCTTGGCCCCTCAGCACCCAGTTCTGCCCCTTCCTAGCTGTGGGCTCAACCCCTCTGGGGTGCCCTGGAGGCCCCATGGCTATGAGGCCTCTGGGGCAGAAAAGATTTCTGAAGCTGAGTAGGGCAATGTGTGCTTGCAGTGCCACACTCTGGGAGGCTGAGGCAGGAGAACTGCAATGCAGTGACTTATCAAGACCCTGTCTCAAAATAAAAATTTGTAAAAAGGGTTGTGGGGGCCGGGAGTACAGCTCAGCACTACAGTGCCTGCCTGGCAAGCATAAGGTCCTGAATTTGATTCCCTGTTCAAAAAAAAAAAAAAAAAAAAAAAAGGCTATGGATGTAACTCAGTGCAAAGACCCTCAGTACCACAAAAGGAAGAGGAAGGAGGAGGAGAAACAGAAGGAAGAGATTATTTCTGAGTGCTGAGGCTGGCAGGATCCTGTCTGGCTGCAGAAGCAGGACAATGAGTCTGCAGTTCTCAGAGCCAGCCTGGCACCCCTGGCCAAGTGACCCTTTTCTCTCATGCCTTGGCACACAGAGAGGTTGCTGCACCACAAGAGCACAGCACTGCACCACCAAACATGCTCTTTCCCACCTGCAATCCCAGCCATGCAGCTGTGGAACCCACACTCCCAGTGTGGTTTCAGCACTGGGGCTCTGTGCCTGGGGGGCAAGTCACACAGCCAGCTCGGCGTCCAAGCAGAGACCCCAGCCTGTCTGGCTTTTTCTCTCTTTGTGTCCAGAGCCGGGAGGGGCCCTAAAGAAGGTACCCAGGGCACCCATATAACTGAGAGTTCCAAGAACAGACAGCAGAGTTCCAAAAGAGGGTAAAACTCCAGAGAATATTCCAGAAGCATCACTTTGTCCCCTCCATTGCCCTCCCCTGCACCTGCCTTGTCCTCCCTGGCTGCCCACCCACCAGGACATCACAGCAGCAACTCTGGGGCTCCAGGTCCCAGCCTCCGGGATCTACCAGGTGACCCAGGATCTATAAGTGCCCCCTCTGTCGGTTCCTTGTCACCTCTTCCATCTCATCAGCTCTTCACTGCTTCCCTCTACAGTGACCTCTAAGTTTCCTCCAACACCCCTGGCAGGTGCCACCCATGTTCCCTCTTCTATTCACTCTCCCTAGCTGTGTGCCCACTCCCAAGTCGCGCACCGCCAGCTCCTTCTTCCTGCAGTATGAACTTGAGTCACTTCCTGACCGACTGTGGTGGACAGAGATTGATTATGCGATGACCACAGCCCTGAAAGGGAAGAGCCTTGGCTTTTCCACTTGCTCCGGTCCCCCCGCCCACCCCACCCCCGGCCCTGAGCTCAGGGCCTGGCACACAGTAGATGTCCAGGAAATAATCCTAGCACTCTGGGAGGCTAAGGCAAGAAAATGACAACTTTGAGCTCAGCCTCAGCAATTTAACCACCTAAGGAGACTCTGTAAATAATGTTTAAAAAGGGATGGGGATGCAGTTCAGTGTGAAGGCTCTGGATTCACTCCCCTGTACAAAAAACAATGAAAACCATACTTGAGGGTTATTCATTCTACACCAGGCGAAAACAGATGACTCATGAACCCCACCCTCCTTCCCCACCCTCCTTCCGTCCCAGGGCCCCCAGGCCTGCAGGTGGAGAAGGAAGGAACTCAGTGCCAACGGCCTGGGCGCACCTCCCAGCTCCACCACATTCGCATTGTGTGTGTGACCTCAGGCATTCCAGCTTCGCGCCCGAGCCTCAGTTTCCCCATCTGTACAGCTGGGATAATAACAGCGGTCCCTGCAGGGCTGCCCTTTGGATTCAATGGGCTGGTTATGCATAAGCTGACCGCAGCCCTCCAGCTGAAAGCTAGTTCCCTTCCCGGAAGGGGGTGGAGCGGGATGGGTGTGACTGTGTGCTTTCCAGCAGCCAACAAAGATACTCTTGTATGCAGGGCCCCTTGGGCGTGGAACACAACCCACCCGAAGCTTCCGGTCTCAGAGGGGAAGTTCACTAGGGAACTTTCTTTGAGGATGGTCGCGACAAGAAATACTGGTTTAGGGGACATGTCCCACTTTACCTCCCCTGCCCGGAGGAGCCGCAAGGAGGTTTGCTAAGGGATCTGTCCCACCTACTGCTCATGAGGATAGGATCTAATAGGCTTAAAACGACCGCTGGGCCCCAGTGATTGGCTCAGTGCGGGCCAATGAAAGTGAAGTATACAAATTTTGATCAAAACGGGGTGCTGCAGCCCTGTAATCCCAGCGGTTCTGGAGAATGAGGCAGGGGATCGAAATTCGAGGCCAGCCTGGGTTGGAGCGACTCCGTCACGGAAAAGTATTTTTAAAAGGGCTGGCAATGTAACTCAGCGGTGGAGGACTTTTTCCTAACATGTACTGGGTTCCGTTCCAGTACTGCAAGAGAAAGGAAGGGAGGGAAAGAAAGGGGAGGAGAGGGAGGAAATTTTAATACATCAGGTAAGGAAATATGTGGATTTTTGACAGTGAAAAATACACCTTTGAAGCATAGTAACTCTGCTGTCATTTTGTCCCCAGAAAACAAAAACAAAAAGCGCAGTCCGATGACTAAGCTAATGATACTACAGACCAAGAGAAATATTGAGAAACCAGGTCCATGCTTTCATCACCCCATGCCTGATCCCCACTATGGAATATTCAGTTAGGAATAGGAAATCTCCAAATTTGATTTGCTTGATTTAATTTGAACGAGGCTTTCCATAATTGTAGGCCAAATAACCACACTGACGTACAGAAAAGTTCTGTAGATCAGATCACTGCACTTACCACGTGGTTTTCACGTGGTTGAGCCAACGCATTTCTTTTAACTTAGGTCAGTCCAAGAGTAAGGGTCTCTAGATGTTGATGGTGCAAACCTCAGCCAGCTTGCTCTCTGCAGACAAAGCTGCCTCCCAGGGACCTGGATAGACAGCTCCCAGATGGGAGCCAGGGGCTGCTGGCCCTGTTCACCTTCCTCAGCTCCTCCTGAAAGAAGGGTAAGGGGACAGCAGAGCCAGAACTTGGCAAAGACAGAGAGACACAGGTGCCTGGGGACTTGGCAGTCCTCCCATCACAGGAGATAATGTGCCAGTGCCCGGATGCCTGGCAAATGTCAGGGGAGTGTGCATGGCCCTGGAGATGCCCCTGAGTGTCTGCATCCCAGCCTAGGCCAAGGAGAGGACAGGGTGTGGTCACAGTGTGGCTGGAAGGCTCTCAACAGTAGAACTGTTCACCGTGCTCCCCAACCCAGAAGGCCTCCCTGGCTGGGTGCTATCTGTCCCCCAAGGAGCAGCTGCACTGGGGGGGGGGGCACACAATCCATGCTGCTAAGCACAAAATCTAAGTCACATTGGCAGCCCTTCTGGCACGGCATCAGGTAGCATTCAGAGTGGGCAGACTCGGCAGGAGGTGGAACAGGAGGAGCTGTGGCTATGGAATGGACAGGCCAGCTCTGAAAGAAAACAGATGGGGACTAAATGACCAGGCAAACAAGCCTATTATGCAGCATTTCCAATCAGAAAATTACTGAGAAGCAGAGGGAGGCTGAAAGGACCTGGGGCAAGTCCTAGGTAAAGAGGGAAGATAAGGGAGGCTTCATTCATTGGGAGGTAGCATAGTTAGGGTGAGGGCATAAATGGTAACAGTGATGGTGCTGCTGCTGGCGATGACGACAGCAGAGATGTGATGATGATGATGGGGTGGTGGTGGTGGTGATGATGATGTGATGTGATGTGATGACCGTGTTGGTGATGAAGATGGTAGTGGTGTGGCGGCAGTGATGATGATGATGATGATGATCTGGGTGAGGGATCTGAAATAATATAACTTGATTATGGACTACAAGCAGGCTCTGCTTATCATCTCTTAGCCATTATCTCTATTATTCTTAATACGTTTTTCTTGAATTCACTGCTGAAGACTATGTTAGAAACTGTGAAAGGTTATTATCATTTTATCAATGAACAGAGCTATTTATAATTGAGCAGTTACCAGGACTTGCCTTGTAAGATGCCATTTTACCATAATTATTAACAGCCCTATAAAGACTTTCATCACCACTTTCCATTACAGATGAGGAGACTGCAGCCCAGAGATGTTAAGTGACCTGCTTGACATCACACAGTTACCAAGTAATGGAACTGGGATTGTAAACAAGGCCATGAACTCCACTAAGAACACATTCCCACTTGCAAAAAGTGCGAACTCACACAGGTAGGAGACACTCCTACATCCACTCCCCCACTCCATCCCACCCGTCTGAGGCCAGGACTCACTGGTGTATGGATTTCTGGGCCATTAAAGAGCAGCAGGAGGAAGCTGCCTGAGGACTGTGGGAGTTCCCACACTCCAGGATCCTGACCCATATACAGGTAAAGGGCAGCGGCAGCAACAAGTCAGTTCCCTATAGCCAGTGCTCAGCTAACAAGTTCAGGTGTTACCCCACAGGTCGCAGGGAGCTACAGCAGCACCTTTCCAGGTGATTCTTGACTAGACAAGTTACTTGGCCTCTTTCGGGTTCAGTTTCCTCATCTGCAAAACAGAAATAATAGCTCTTCCCTCAGCAGAGGATGCAAGGATTAAATGAACCAAGGTACCTGGCAAGGGCATTGCAGCTTCCTCATTGTCCATCCTGCCGCCCACCCTGGCACATTGGTCCACACCAGTTCTTACCAAAAGCAATGAGCACAAATAATGCCGATGATGTTCAAAGGCAAGGCCTGGAGATCAGAGTGCTCATGCTGCCACGGTGGCATCACAGAGCAGATAGGAACTTGAACCATGCCCTGAGACTACTGTGGAATTTGTAGGCAAGGGAAATAGCCCTTGGTCAGGTGGGGCCATGTTCAAGTTATTATCATTTTCTCATTATGCAGTACAACAAAGCCTATCCTTACCAATCCAACAGCTGTCAGAGCCATCAATCACTTCACTATTGTTCAGAGTTTGAAGCAGGTAGGGTCTCAAGGGGGACAGTTAGTCCGAAGGGGGCAATGGCTCAACTTGAGTGGCCTTGACCCTGAGTCAAGGTGGCATTGGGTCAGCTGGTGAGATCAGGCTGAGAAAGACCCAGACATAGAAACACACTCACCACAGGATGCTACAGGTCTCTAGACCTGCATAGGAACCCATGTCATTGGCTTTTTTCCAGCATGGCACACAAGGTCCCCTGAGAGCCCTGGTAATACAGAGTTCATAGATGGTGCAACTCTCTGTGTGAACCTGTCCTGGCCTATCACAGGTGTCCAGCAAGCCACCTGATACCAGGCTATATCCTCCAAGGGGACACAGAGGAGCTGGGTTCAGGATCAAGTTGTCATCCCCAGAGGGCTACAGGCTGTTGGAACCACTGAGTATCCAAGTGAAAGTTTCTTTCCAGGCCACAGCTCTTCATGCAGATCTCAGGAACTGGCAGCCAGAGGGCCTGGATCTATGAAAGAAGTGCCCAAAGGCCACCACCCACACCACAGCAGTTGAGAATGTGGAGAAGTCCCAGGAAGTTCCTCCAGCCAGGGGCAGGGGCAGGGACAGGAGGCTGGAGGAGGCCTCTGAAGAAGGGGGCCAGGGGCAGGGACCCTCTGCCAGGTTCTGTGTCTGGGCTTTGTTCCCTCTGCCTGCACAGCTCTTCCCCTACATGTCATATGGCTCACCCTTCCCTCCAGTGGTCCTCTGCTCCAAAATCACCTCCTCATCAAGTCCTTTCCCGCTACCCTGTTCAAAATTATAATCTCCCTCCACATGCAGACATACCCTCATTCTCCTTTCCTGCTTCCTTTTTCTAGGGCTTGTCACCATCTGACATATTAGATATTTATTTCTTAATGTCTGCCTCCCATGTTATCCTGTGAGCTGGAGCGGGGAGGCCATGTGTCTGTTTTGTTCTCTGCATGTCCCCAGAGCCTGGAACAGGGCCTGATCAAAAGTTGATGTTCAATGAAGTTTGTTGCATGGAAGGATGGTGGATGGATGATGAATGAATTTAAAGATGAATAGGAGAAAGGATGTGTAAATTGGTGAGAGGATGAATGTAAGCATGGATAAAAGAATGAATGAATTAAGTGGAGGATGAATGAATATAAAGATGGTTGGATCTAAATATGCATAGGTAGATGGACAAATGAATGACTGGAAAGATGGGGGAGCACACTGATAACTGAGCAGAGAAATGGGTGAAGGGATGGCAAGTGGAATGGATAATTGGATGGAGGAGTGAGAGGCTAGATGGATAATGGATAGATCAAAGTATACTGCATTGTGGAGATACAGTGTTATGATTTATACCTAGATGTCCCCCAAACTTCATGTGCTCATAGGATTTGCTTTGGGGAGGTGACTGGATTATGGGAGCACAATACTCATGAGTGGATTAGTCCACTGATGAGTTTATAGCAAAATGTGATGTTAGGAAGTAGAGCCTGGTTGGAGGAGATGGGTCACTGGGGCATGGCCTGGAAGAGTACATCCCCTGTCCCACCTTCTCTGCTTGCTCTCTGCCACACTGTCAGCAGGTATTCCTCTGCCACTCTTGAAGCTAGACAACTGTGTACTAACTGTGAGCCAAAATAAGCCTTTTCCTCTATAATTTCTGCATGTCAGGTATTGTGTCTCAGTGCAGAGAAAGAGACTAAGACATATGGTTTTGTACGGGGGAGGCTCAGTGAAAGCATGGCTTGCCAGAAGGGTAGACTCATTGAATAGATGGAAAGTTGGATGCATAGATTGAAGGAGATGGTAAGGAAGGGTGCTAGAGGAAGGATTTGATGGATGGATGGATGGATGGATGGATGAATAGATAGATGGATGGGTGGATGACTGTCGTATGGGCAGCCATAGACAAAGCTGGGAGTTGGGTAGTCACCCTTGCCCTCACCTGGACTTGCTGCACTTGTTCCAGGTCACAGGAGGCTCCTGTCGAGGGCCGCTGAGCTCCATCTCCATGCAGTTCAAGAAGACCACGTTCTGGCTGTGGAAGTGCCTGTTAGGAGATAAAGGACAAGGCTCTGTAAGTGGGGTCTGACCCACAGGAGTGGCCCATAGGGTAGTGTAGGTGCCTTAGAAGTGGGCTCTGGTTCCATCAAAGGTGAAGAAGGGTCTCCAATGACCACACAGGTGGTAGAGAGAGGCCAGATCAGTGTTCTGCCTGGCCTGGACGGACTGAGGTGTGGCATGGGGATAGGCACGAAAGCAACAGCGCTTAGCCAACACCACAGCAGGCCTCAGACTGGCACCTTCCCAGAAGGCAGAAAATTTGTGAACCTTCTTTTCCCTCAGCAGACTACATAGCTCAATGGCTAAGAGCATAGTTTTGGAGTCAGAGAGACCTGGAATCCAGACCTCACTCTGTCCCTTGAGAACTCTCTGCATCCTATAGCCTTGATTTCATCCTCAACACAATGAGGAGACAAAAAGCTGTCTGGGGGTCAGTGTGATTATATATGAGGTGCTTAGCAGCCAGCTGGCTCACAACAAAAGAGGCTACTGTGGCTGTGAATGTGCCAGCCCAGCATTCAAATGTAATGGATACTCAGAAAACATTACCGTTTATTGTAATGTGATGGGGTTGAAGACGAAGAAATTGCAGAAAATGACTAAACCATATTCACACTGTTGCCACTATAAGTCATTTAAGGGCTCCCCCTGGAACACAAAGAATGCCTCGTAAAATATATGCTGGGCATTATTATCAGCATTATTATTTTAATGGACCCCAAATTTATTAACTATTACTATTGTTATACTGCTTAACTCGGGCATGTATGGAAGTGACATATCTACTATATTTTAATCATGAGTAGTAGTATTAGTATGGGAATTTGACACATTGTCAGGACTCAAATCTTGCAGATTAAATGACACTAACAACAAATAACTCATTTAATACAGATTTTTGTATACATTAACACTAAATAGTGATGGCTGTTATTATCTTCACATTGTTTAGTTGGGACGAAGCATTTTTTTTTTTTTTTTTGTCTTTTTTCATTTTTATCGGTACCAGGGATCGAACTCACGAGTGCCTGCTTGCAAGGCAGGTGCTTATGCCGCTGAGCTAAATCCGCAGCCCTAGGACCAAGCATTTAATAGACAATCAATAAATAGAAACTAACTTTAAAAAAAAATCAATAATGCTAATAATAGTAACAATAATACTAGGGATAACAACAGGGAATGAGCTTAGTAAATATGAGTGGCAGAATTCCGATCATCAATAATGAAGAGGCCAGCACACTGTAAATCTCTAATATACTGAGCATACCAGTTGAATGTGGATGTCCTGGGTTGGGTGCCCACTCTGGCAAGCTTGGGGTGTTCTGTGACCTTCAGAAAGGTCAGGCTCTTCTCAGGAGCAAGATGCAGCTCCAGCTCACAAGTGAGTGCGGCGCAAGGGTATGTGTGCACCACATTGCTCAAGGCTCTGCTCTTGACCCCAAACCTCAGACCCAGCCCTCAGCACGGCAACTGCAGCTGGATGAGGCCGCAGAGCCACACCCTGGCAAAGCTGGTAGCTGGTAGCTGCAGGGCCCTGGCAAAGCTGGTAGCTGCTGCACTCAGGCCTTTTAAGGTTGAGCAGGAGGTGAAGGAAGGCTCTGTGTGCTCAGTGCTCAGCTCCCCACCTCAAGGCTTCAGATCACTGCTGCCTAAGACCAGGTGACGTCACCTAGAGCTCAGAGCTCACTCCCATCTCAAAAATAGGCTCTTCTCACTGACCTCAGACTTGTCGTGAGGGCTAAGCAAGTTGAAATAAAGTTATAGTAGGGGGGAATCTAGCATAGTGCAAGCCTGAATGAACATGATCTACTGTCTGCCCAGAAACAATCGCCTTCTGGTCTACCTTTCCCACACGATGGACTCTGGTCTATCCCTCTTCCTTACCCAAACACTTCCTTCTTCCCCTCCTCTCAGCACTGGAAGATCAAAGCCAGGGCTTCACACTGAGCTATAACCACAGCCTTTAAAAAAAGTTTTTTTGAGAGAGTCTCCCAGAGTTGCTCAGGCTAGGCTTGAACTTGCCACCCTCCTGCCTTGGCTTCCCAGAGTGCTGGGGTCACAAGCGTAAACCAGTATCCCTGGTGTTTTCTTTTTCTTTTTTTTTTTTTCATGTATCCTAATCTATTAGAAAATTCATTCTGGCATGTTTACAAATTTACATTATGACTGAAATTTGCTTTTAAAAAAGGAATGAGTCAGGCATGGTGGCACACACCTGTAATCCCAGCACTCGGGAGGCTGAGGCAGGAGGATCTTCCCAAATTGGAGACCATCCTGGGCTTCAAAGTGAGCTCAAGGCCAGTTGAAATGCATAGCAAGACAGTGTCTCAAAAAAGACCAAAAAAAAAAAAAAAAAACTAAAAAATAAAATTTAAAAAAATGAATAAATAAGGGAAGTGTGCAGGTAGCTCCAAAGTTGTTCTCAACGTGGCCATTGTTGAAGCTGCTTGATAGTTCTGGGGCATTCATTGTCCTACTTTCTGTTCTTGTTTATGTTAAAATTGTCTATGTTGAAGAATTAAATAAGAAAGAAAGGGAAAGAAAAGAAGGAAGGAAGGAAGAAAATGGCTATGACAAAACTTCCCTCTGTCTCTACAGAAAGACATTGAGTTCTCAGCTGTGCCCTGTATTAACAGTAGCATTGGCTCTGTATGCTTCAGTTTTGCCAGAGATAATAATAGTCACCACTACTTGCAGGTGTTTCTGAGAAGGTGAAAGCGGTGAGCACATAGGCCTGTCGTTCTTTGTAGGTATGCAATCGGTGTTAGCACTTCTTAGCACTTCAGGGAATTAGAAAAGTAGACATCCCAGATCAGGCTCTCTGAGCATGGAAAAGGACATCCAGTCACCCTGATGAGGAGGCAAGAAGCACAGAATCATCAAGGTGTTTAGGGGTAGTGCTCAAAATATATGGCAATCCGTAGATAAGGCTGCCACCCATCTTCATGCATCCATCTGGGGCTTGGGGAGCGTCTGCAGCACCTGCCACGCCAGGCTTTGGAGTGTGGGAATGGCTGGGGCACTAAGGCAGCTCAGGAAGACAGAAGTGGCTGTCTGTGCAAATCAGCATGGCCATCTGGAATGTGCAGAAAAATTCCCACCCCTTTCTGTGACTCACCCCTGGAGGAAGAACTTTTCCACTGCCCAGGAGTGACGTTCGCATCCTGGCAGATTGTACCATATCCCTGCAGGGCCTAGCACAGGATGTGGTCACTGTCCCAGCAAGTCACAAATCACTGGCACAGCTGGATACCTTATGGATCTGGATGGAGCTCAACAGGGCAAGAGCCAAAGGGCTCCTGAGGGTACTGTGGGAGCCCAACTGCCTCCTGGATGATGCACCCTGTCCCCCGTCATTACAGACTGGACAGGCAGCACCACATGCCTTGTTCTTTCTTTCCTAGGTGCAGTGGGCCTCTGTGTCATCACTGGGCTGCATCATTACTGTAGAGCCTGGGAGTATGACCCTCACAAGACGGGCACAGTGAGCATGAGGCTTTTAGGTAAGCTCCATGTAATAGAATTGCATTCCCGGTCAGGGAACCATATGATAGAATTTTGACACAGCTGAAAAGATAAGAAGTATGAAATATAAATGACCTTTATTTTAAGAAGGCCGGGAGAGACCTCCTGCCCCTCCGGGGTCTGGCATTGTCTCCAGGGGCTGGCATTCTCTCCGGTGGACACGTGGAGTGGGGGCATACATGTAGGTTAGGTTTGGGGTGGTGCCTAAAGGGCACTTGTGATGTGCAGGTAGCCCATTGGTATTCATTTCTTGCCACAGGTAAATTCCTAGGGGTGGGGAAGATAGAGCCCCTCGGTTCCGCCTCCCAGCTTTTCACCAGCTACAGTGTCCCAAATGGGGCAAAATCCTTTCACCATGCTGAGTTACAGATCAAAACCCAACCTTGACATGAAAAGAGCTTTTCACTTCCCTTTGAGATAAGGCCACCCTTTCAGGATTTTGGAGAAGGCAGCTGTCTTGCCATTCACCAAAGGAGCCCTGTTGATAAAGGACAGCCCTGGAGAGCTGGATCATATTTGTTTGGCTCAATGTTGCTCCACAAAAAGTAGGTGCTCAAATACATGTAAAAATGCACTATGATAGTGAACATCCTTTGCTTTATCCTACTCAGCATTCATTCTTCCTTTCTTAGGGTTCCTTTAGACTCTGTCCCTGCAAAGTTGGTGCATATAGATGATAAGAAGTTAGGCCCACCCTGATTTTCAGCATACAACCTACAAAAAGCATCCTCAGCTAGACCACGAGGATGTCTGCATTCACAGGGACACAGACACTGGACTTGCAGGTGCCCAATGGATAATTAAAAGCAGTGTGAACCTTGACATCTCAAACTTCATGCTATCACCATCTCTTTTATTGTTTTAAAACTTTGGATCAAATCTCTGCTCAGCTCTCCACGTAGACACTAAAGAAGTGTCTGTCTAAAAACTGATAATACATGTTTATAAGCCCTAAATTTGCCTAACATGTCTCATCTTCCTTCAAAATCGAGGACACTAAGATTAAGAGTAACTAAGGCATTTTTAGGATCTGCAGGGACTCTGATTGCTAGTTTTGACAATGTCCTGTTCCAGACCCCATGGAGTGATGCCTGGAGGTCTCCAGTCATCATCCTAAATCTTTAGTCATCTTGGATTCCTGACTGACCACCCCTCTCCACACAGGAATAATTACCTCATGGGAACCAGATTGCTTCTGAAGCCATAAGGACATCTCCAGAGCCAACTCACAAAACCAGTCCTGAGACCTATCAACCTGACTGGATCAGGATCAGGATCACAGAAGCTGACAGCTTTCCTGCCCTTCATTACTATGTCTTCTTGATTACCATTTTGGGACAAGAAGATGACATGGTAGGGACCCCAGAGCCAGGACTTTTACCTCAAAACTCCAGTAACAACATGAACCAAGCCAGACCAGTGAGGACATCCCTGGGACTTCTCCAGAAGAGGTCTTTCACTCCAGCGGCATTTGCTAAGTGGCAGCCATCTTTGTCCTCACGAGATGGTGTGGGACTCATCTGAAAGCTGGGAAACAGAGCCCAGGAGCAGGTTCCAGACATGCTATTTGAGCACTTGGATGCACCTGAATCCAGAGATGTGTAAGTTTTGTTTTAATTATGTAATCCAATAAATTCCTTTTTTTTCCCCCTCAAATTGGTTTTTAGATCAACACCCTTTAGGGTGTTTCTGTTATTTTAACCAGCGGACATTTGAGGAATAGAAACAGGAAAGCGTGTGTATTTACAAAAGAGAGGTTAAAATGTGAAAATACTAAAAAGAAAATCAAATTTTCCCTTAGAGCCATGGCTTTGGCTGGGCGGCTTGGATTCCTGGAATCCACACCTCCCTGAAAGCTGCATGCTTACCTCAGTTGTGGCTGGGCTGTCCTTTTAGGGCTGGGCCTGAGTCCCATTGGGACAGACATCTCCCGCCAGGGGCTGCTGGCCCTGTTCGCCTTCCCACATTCCTCTTGGAAGAAAGGTAAGGGGCCAACAGAGCCAGAACTCCACAAAGACAGACAGACACACAGGTGCCTGGGGACTCGATCTTCCCATCACAGGTGATAATGTGCCAGTGCTCGGATGCCTGGCAGGTGTCAGGGAGAGTGAATGGCTCTGGAGATGCCCTCAAGGGTCCCAAACCTCGGCCCAGGCTGATGGGAGGACAGGGATGATCACAGCATGGTTGGAAGGCTCTCAGCAGCAGAACTGTTTGTTCACTGTGCCCCCCAGCCCAGAAGGCCTGCCTGGCTGAGTGCTATCTGTCCCTCAAGAAGCAGCTTCACTGGGTGGTGCTGTTGAGCACAAAGCCTGAGTCACACTGGCAGCCCTCCTGTCATGGCATCAGGCGCTGTTGGGGAGGGCAAGTTCAGAGCTAGAGCGGGAGAGGCTGCAGAGCTCATGGTGGCTGTGGGGAGGACAGGCCAGCTCTGGGGAACACAAATCCTCCACTGCACAGACATCAGCTCACTGCTCCAAGATCCAATCTTGCTTGCTGCTCTCTCTGAAAATGCTGAATAAACAAATGTAACCAGGCATGGTGGCTCATACCTGGGATCCCAGCACTCCAGGAGACTGAGGCAGAAGGATTGCAAATTCTAGTCCCTTGTGGGTAACTTAATGAGCCTCTGTCTCAAAATAAAAATTGAAACAGTGACGGGAATGTAGCCCAATTCAAGGTCCCTGGCTTCATTCCCCTGAACCACCTTCCCCCAAATGGTGTGAATCTTATATCTGTGCAATGACGTGCTCAGTCTTGACTGAACATGTCTTATGTGCCAGGAGTGTTTTAGGGACTGGGGTTATAGCAATGACCGAGACAGTCAGAAACCTCTGACCTCATTCACCAGATATTCTGGAGCGGAGGTTGACAAGCTTCTTCCCCTGAACCAAATCTGGCCTACCGAATTTCTTTTGTACAGACTATAATCTTAGAGTAACCCTTACATGTTTAAATGGGTGGGGGGAAAATCAAAAGAAGAATAATATTTTGTGAAGCATGAAAATCATGTAAAATTCAGATTTCCTTGTCCGTAATAACACTTTCATGTGATCCAGCTCATTTGCTTATCTATTGTCTCTGGATGCTTCTGTCACAATAGAAGTGCTGAGCTGTTGCTGCAGTATTTCTGAAAGCTGAACTATGTGTTATTTGGTCCTTCAGAACAAAAGCATGCCAATCCCCTTCTGGAGGGGGGATGTGGGCAATGAACCAGTAATAAACAAAGACAATTCCAGAACAAGAAACCGGGTTGAGTAACGAAGAGTGGCTGAGCTCTGGGGCCTTCTTCAAGTACAGTGGGCAGGTGGAGCTCCCTGCAGAAGTAGGGCCAGTCCTGAAAGAGTAGAGGTCAAGCACAGGATATGTGAAAAAGAGCTCTGCAAGCAGAGGTGACAGCAAAGGCCAAGGTCCTGTGGTCAGAATGAGCCTGCTGTGTTCCAGGAGCTGCAGAGAGGCCAGCATGGCTAGACTGAGTGAGCTGGAGAGCAGTGGAGGGCAGGCTATGGGGGGGGAGGTGTGACGGTAAAGTTTCATTCCAACAGTAATGGGGATCCGTGGCCGATTTTAGTCAGGAGCCTAGTGAGAACCGATTTAGGCCTGTACGGACGGCTGTGCTGACAGGGCAGCCCCACCCACAGCTTTGGGGTTTTCACAGACCAGGATGTTGCCAGTGGGGGGTTCAGTCAGTGGGGGGTTCTTTTGTCTCATTCAGTTGGAAGTTGTGAATCAACAAGTGCTGCTCTGCAAGCAGTGCTGGTGTCACCAATAATGCTGGATACCAACAGTGGACACAGCAAGCTGCTGACCACTGTCACTGCCCTCTGTCAGTCCAGATAAAACGGAGGGAGCCAAACTGGGAAAGGGACAAAACCAGGGAATCTTTGGGGTAGCTAGTTGTGTTCCTTGTAGATAATTAAGAATTGGGGGGCTGGGGCTGGTAACAGTGGGCCCAGAATCTTCCCTTTTGACCTTAGCATGTCACTGCGGTTCCTCCAGCCCCCAGCATCTGCAATGGCAGGATCAGGGGAGGGGCCCTGCTGCTGACCACTGAGCTATACTCTAGCAGCCTGGAGAACAGTGATCACTACATAACCAGGGAGGACACTGAGGGAAGCTGTCCCAGTCCACTGAGAGGACGAGGGGGGCAAAAGGAAGCAACAGGGAAGATCACAACTGACACTGGCCAGGTCATGGCCCCACTCTGGCCTGCGAGGAGAGAGCGAGAGTTAGGCCTTCTTGTCTCAAGGGGAAGGACCTAGCAAAGGAATGATCACTGGTGTGTGTGTGTGTGTGTGTGTGTGTGTGTGTGTGTGTGTGTGTTACTAGAGACTGAACCCATAGCCTATAAGCCCAGCCCTTTTAAATATTTTTAAATTTTGAGACAGTGTCTCCCTGAGTTGCTAAATTGCCAGGCTGGATTCAAACTTGTGATCCTCTTGCCTCAGCCTCCAAAGTACTTGAATTACTGTGTGTGCCACCGACTCTGGCTTACCTGTGCTGTGCACTTCATTTTCTCTGCTGAAATCCCAGCACCACCCGGGTCGGAAGTTTTGTGTTTCAGTTGCTGCTTTGCCCTCAGCTCGTAGACCACTTCCTGATGGTCCTCAGGTACTCGTGTAGTCACTGTCTCGGGGAAGTAAGCACTGACCTTAGAGGTGAGTCTGGGAGCAGAGGTGGTTCCAGTGGGGCAGAACCTTTCCCTTGCCTCTTGTCTCTGCAGTAGGCTGCCACTGTCCAACCAAGGGGAGTTCCGTTTGCAGGACACTGAGCTTGCTTCCTGTTCTGGCAGGTGCCTGCAAAAGGACCCACCGGCCATAGGGCCTGGAAGCCAGGGGCCCATATCTTCTGGATACCACTCCTCCTCCCTGCCTGCCACTCACGAGCCGTGGGTTCCATCCGAGCCTCATCTGTCCCCAAGCTGCCCTGCTCCCCGCTCTATGGCCTGAAGCCTCTGGGCTTCTGAAGACATGTTCCTTTCCTCTGGGAAACATTTGTTCCTCTGGGAAACATTTGTCATCTCCATTTTGATTTGTCAGCTTTGATTTGTTCCAGTGTCCCTGTCTCCGGAAGCTTGCCCTGACTGTCCAGGCTGGGCAGACGCCTCCCCTGCTCCCCCTCCCTACTTCCCTCCTCTGATCCCCAGGCACCTGCCTGGCTTCCCAGCACAGCCCTGTGTTGGCACCATCTGAGGACAGCTCCATGTGCCTCAGTGCATCCTGGGCTCCTGGGGACGGTCTGGGTCTTTCACAGTCACTACTGCATGCCCAGCCTCACCCAGTGCAAGTCTGGGCCTTGAGTGATCCCTCTCTGCCACACAGGATTAGGGAACACCCTCCTGTCCTGTGCCTTGGTGACTGCTCATCATCATGAAGTTGTCACATTCATCCTGAAGGAATGAGAAGGTGGCTTTGTCCTTATCTGCTGGCCTGGCTGACCTGGGCCTTCCCAGGGCAGGCTGACTCAAGGGTCTGGGATGAAGCCTGTTGCCCACAGGGTGCAGAGTCTTGTGACTCTGACCTGAGGGACAAAGTGATGTGAACAGAGCATCGTTCCCTGATGTGAAGGTCAGAAATTCAATTTAGCAACAAGAGTTAATATTTAGTTATAACATTGATGTCTTGCCAAGAACTGTTCATTTTTTCTGACACTCACAACTCCCCAAAGTAGATACTATTATCCTTCTTGTGCTTATGTTGAAGAGGAAACTGAACACACAGCACACAGAAGCCTGCCTTTGGGATCTGTGGTCCCATCCTCATGTCACTCAGCCAGGTGGGGGAATTCCCTGAATTATGAAAGTAACAGAGAAGACAAGCATGCAATGGAAGGTATTGGAGTGCACAACCTCACTGGGGACACCTTGTACTCTGTGTGTACACAGATTGAGTAACAAACAGCTCACTCTGATGGCTGGATCCTGTGAATATGTTCTGCTATGTGGCAGAAGGCACGTTGCAGATGTAGTTGATGTTACCAACCTTGAGATGGGGGAGACTGCTCTGCATTGTCCAGATGGGGCCTGTGAAAACATATGACTTCTTACAAGAGGAAGAAGGAGACCAAAGAACCTGTCAGAAAGAGGAAGGAGACTGACAGCGTGAGGTGGATTCATCTGCAGTGGGTAGCCTCGAAGATGAGGGAGAGGACCACAAGCCAAGGATTGTGGGAGCTGAGACCAGCTCTCAGCCTGCAGTCAGCAAAGAGATATGCACCTTAGTCCTATAGCCACCAGGAAATGGATACTGCCAGTCGTCTGCTCATCAAGAAAATGACCCTCCTCAGAGCCATCAGAAGGGAACCTGTTGACCAGCTGAGAAGTTTGGTTCTACCCTGCAGAACCAAAACATGAGAAGCATGAGTTACTCTAAGCTGCAGTGTTCCAGGCAGTTTGTTAAGGCAGCGACAGAAAATGAACACAGCTGGATGCTCACACATACTGCATTTCTCACTGCGGGCCTCCATCAAACCTGTCTGGCTGACTGCTTAATGCTCTTGACAAACATCTACTGGTGGCAAGGCAAGGGCAGCAGAAGTGGACATTTGTCCTCTGGGCACCAGCCAGTACCATTGCTAGTGCTAACCTCAACATCACCCAGGCAATCTCCCCAGGGCCACGGCCTAGGGTCAGGCTGAAGCTAACTGCAGAATCCTTCCCCCTTCCCCGCCCCCCGCTGGCCACGTGACTGATTCAAGAGGCAGCCAATCAGCGCCACTCAGCCCCTCTTCTGGGGCTGCAAGGACACACTGGGCTCCTTCCTGCTGGGCAGAGACCTGAGTGGCTGCCAGGCGGGTTGAAGGGGAGTCATCTGCATGTGAGGCTACTTTGGCAGGAGGTGTCTTGGTGAAACCGAGGCAGGGCTGGTGATGCTGAGTGCCTGACTGAGCCAGGCCTGAAATACCCGCTCAGAGCCTTAGCTATTTGTGCAAGCCAGCACGATGAGTCCATGCAGTTTTCTGTAACCAGCAAGCAGAGGGAGGCTGGTCTGTGCATAGAGGAAGGCAATGCACAAGGTTGCCACTTACCATAGACCACAAGGGGTCTCTAATGGTAGCATGGGGAGGCCATTGTGTGGGAACTTCTGGGCACAGCTGCCCCGCACCTCACCCAAGATCCCACAGAGCCCACACAGCCCACAGAGGGCTCCATGAAAGATACTTGAAGGCATCAGACATAGGAGGTCAGGAGGCTGGCGTGTGTGTGCAGCATCTCCCAGAACCACTGAGAGAGACATGCATGAGGCTGCTGCCCAGATAGAGCAGTGAGTAGGCCTGAGTCCTGTCCACTTGGCAACACAAATGGGACATGCCCAGCTAGGGCCCGACTCCCTCAGAACCTCTGGGCTAGGACCCAGCCCTCCTTAGATTTCTAAGTTTGAACTTGCTCTCTGGAGATATGTCCCAGCTCTCATCCAATCTCAGCTGTACCCTCCCAGGAGTCTAAGCCTCCATCATCATCATCACCCCATGGACAATGACCTTGATGCGTCCAGCCCAGGTCACATGGCCACAGGGCTGAGATACTCATTGTGCACTGATACCATCCAGCTCAGCACAAAACAGCAAGTACCTTGTGCCTTGAAGGCAACATGGTCGAAAGTGCTGTATGGGAGTCGCCTGACACCAAGTTGCTACTTCTTAGGTTCCACAGTCCCAGGCTCCACCATCCAGGAGGCACGCTGCACCATTCACACCAGCCTGCAAGCTGAATGAGGCAGGACCCCACTCGCTTGCCCCTATGGCTGCAGAGTGTGATATACACACAGGTCCCAGGACCAGCAGGTTTCAAGAGCTACCCACAGGCCTTAGCAGCCATGTGCCTGGCCCACAGGCAGACTGAGCATTCCTACCATTCTGAACTACAGGACCCTGCCTTCTGTGGTCTGGCTTGGAATGGTATGGGCTCCAGCTGGGATGTGCCAGAGAGGGTCAAGGCTTTGGGCCCACACGGATTCTGGTGAGAGGGCCTCAGGTCTGGTGTCCTGTGCTCATCTTTGGAGGTTCCAGGTTCAATTCCCAGTTCAAGGCTTATTTCCATGGCCAGGCAGGTGGCTGGAGAGGGACAGAGGAAACAGATGTCCTTTTACCTGTAGATACAAGATACTGTGCTTGGGGACCCTGGCACACATTTAGGTAGAGATGAAGGAGGCTTCCAGTGAGGGACATTTGGGAAATAAACACATGTGTCAGGAAAAAGGATGTGCAAGGTCCCAGTGACAGGGCCTGAAAAGAGTGGGGAGTCAGTGGAGCTTTTGTTTTTTCCCGTACTGGAGATTGAACTCAGGCCTCCACACTGAGCTACATCTCCAGCCCTTTTTTATTTTGTATTTTGAGGCACAATCTTGCAAATATTTCAGGCTGGGCTCTAACTTTCGATCTTCCTGCCTTGTCTCCCAGAAAACTGGGATTATAGGTGTGTGCCACCACGTCCAGCTTCCACAGGGCATCCATAGCAGAAAACCTGGATGAGATTCCTAAAGTATGAGAGAGGATGAAGAAGAGGATGGTGGGCTGAGTCCTGGGCACACCAGCGTTCAGAGCCTTTAGAGTGGGGCTAATGTGAAGGCACTTGGCCGGGGGGGGGCAGAAAGTGTAGGGTCCTGGGATCTGGGAGAAAGGGTACTTCAGAAAAGTAGGGGGACCAGGTTAAATCAAAACCTACCAGTGGTCAAGCAGGATATGAGCTGAGGGTGGACTACTGGATTGGGGAGACCTCATCAAGAAATAAATGTTTTGGTGGCATGAAATTGCAGATGGACAAAATCCTGACTGAAGAGGATTTGTAAACCCAGATGAGGGAAATCAGTCATAGAGCAGACATTTGTGCAGTTTGCTATACAGAGAGTTTGAGCAGTGGGGAAGCAGCTAGGTGGCCTGAGGAAGGTGTTCTAAATGGGAATAAATCATAGTCTGTTGGAATATGAGAAGTATCCAGTGGAAAAAGAGCATATGTACTGGGTACAGTGCAATTCCAGAACTAGGAGAGGCTGAGGCAGGAGGATTCCAAATTTAGGTCCAACCTGGAAAACTTAGTGACCTAGAGAGAACTTGACTCAAAATTGAAAATACAAAAGGATCAGGGCCCTGAGTTCAGAGGTCCTGGGTTCAATTCCCAATAGTGGAAAAGAAAACAAAAACAAATGCAAAACCATGAATGAGCACCAGAGTCCCCAGAAGGGCTGCAGGGCCCTTCCGGAGTGATGATCTGAGAAGGGACCCAAGAATGTATATCTCAACAAGTTTCCTGGTGCTGCTGCTGGTCAGGGAGCTGCCCTTTGAGAAGCATTGATCTAGAGGAAGTCAGAGCAGAAACAATTTCAGGGGATATTGGAGCACCTTTGCAGGGGTGGAAGGAGCGGAGGCCATGTCCATCACGGCAGCCAGGGAGGCAAAAGGCTCTGGAGCTCACAGCTAGTCCAGTGGCTATTTTCCCAGAGACCCAAAGAGTGGAGAGTGACTGCCAGCTGTGAGGTGAGAAGAGGTCTGGCCTAGGGCAGAGAAGGTGTGAACAGTCCCAGGGGTGGGACCAGTGCAAGTATCCCAGAGCTGGCAAGTGGCAGTCAGGTTCACCTGGTAGGTATGACGAGGTCAACTGTTTGCAGCTGTTGTGACGTGGTCTGTGGAGGGGTCTAAAGAAAGGGATATGGACGGAGCAGCAGGGACAGTAGACTTCATTGCCACTGGGATCCCCTGGCAGATGGAGTCAAGGAGCTTGAGGTTGGGAGTCACATGCTGGGTTTCATACCCAAGAAAGACCGGGGGCCCCCGGAGGCTGCACTGCTGAGGCCTTGGGTGGTGTTGCTATCTGCCCGTGACCATCTGTCAGCCTTGGCCAACCCCAGTGCTCTGCCATCTGTCCACTTTTTGCCCACCTGTCCCTGTCTCTCCCCACTTTTGTCCTACCACCTGTTCAGGTATCTCAAGTGGTTCCATCTCTGACCACCCCTGCCTGTCCCTCTGCTCAGTCCTCCTGTCTTCCTGTCGATCTGCCTGATGATCTTCTCATCCATCTCTCTGTCTGTTCTTTCTGTCTGCCCATGGGCCAGTAGATCCTGCACCCACCCGTGTCATTGTGCCTGCCCCTGCTCTATCCTCAAGCCCAGCTTGCGGCCTCATTCCCCACCACACATCCTATTAGGTCATCTGATCTCGCCATCACGTCCTGGCTGTGGATCAGGCCTCTGGCACCAGGGTTCCCTTGCAGCTCTGCCTCCACTCAGATGCCAGGAAGCAAGGCCAGGAGGAACTGGCAGGGCTAGAGCCACAGAAGTCACCCAGAGAGTGTGTGCAGGTGGCCCTGGGGCCCCACATGGCAGAAGGAGCCACGAGAGACCCAGCAGCATACCACAGGCCCCACCTGTCAGCCCTCTGGCCAGCACCAGATGTGGCCTTCATGCCCACAGAGGCACCTGTGGTTGTAGGAACTGCTGCTCCAGAAACAAGAACCAAAGGGCAGGAACTGGGCTGTGGAGAGTGGGGTTGGGGTGGAGGTGTCTGGGGCCTGAACAAGGGAGGCAGGAGTATAAGGAAAGAAGGAACTGGGACATTATAGTAGGCATGGCCATTAGGAACTGGGAAGATGGCCAGAGAAAGGCCTGGCTCACACTGCTGATATCTGCCACATACAGGAGGCTGAGGGTCCCAGAGCCAGTGACGGTAAAGGAGCACTGCCGAGCTGCTATTGGAGTCCACCCAGAACGGCTCAGGTCAGGGTCAGCCGTCCAGCTCACCCTCCCTGAAGATTCAAAGGCCAGCTTCCATGGGTACCCCACCCACCCGGGCTGCAGTGGCTCCCCCAAAGCCATCAAAGGGGCTCCTGCCCCTGGCCACCATGGTGGTCCACTGGCTGTTGGCATAGAGGAAGGGGCAGAGCTATTGTTGACAGCCAGCACCACGTGGAAGGCAGTTAGATTCTGGGGCTGAAAGCCTGGAGCCAGTCCTGGGTAGGCGCAGGAATACCCATGATGCCCCCTTGTGGCTGGCTTCATAGCTGGGTTCCACCTGCCCCGTGGAGCTGACAGCTTCTGGTCTGCCGAGTCCCCTATCCAAAGCCACCTCCATCAGAGACAATGGCAGTGCCCTTTCATAATTTTTCTGTATCCATTTATCTTTCTCTTTTTCTGCCCTAGTCTCTCTCTTCATTTGACTATCTCCCTTCTGTGGGAATTCTCTCCATCTCCTTCGCTGGGTTTCCCTTCTGTGTATCTTCCTATCACCTATCCCCCTCCCTCCCTGTTTTCCTGTCATGCTTTCTTTATCTCTTCCTCTTCCTCTCCCTCCAGTACCAAGGATTGAACTCGGGGGCCTTCACAGTGATCTCCATCCCCAGCCTTTTTTGTTTTTTTTGAGACAGGATCTTGCTAAATCGTTAAGTTGCCCAGGCTAGGCTCAAACTTGCTATCTTCCAGCCTCAGCCTCCCAGAGTGTTGGGATTACAAATATCCTCTCCTTATTTTTATCTCTCCCTCTTCTGTCTCCATTTCTCTGCCTCATGGTATTTCCACTTGTCCAAGAATCAGACCAAGCTCATCTTCCTTGGAGGCTGGGCCAGACACTCTCAGTCAAGGTCTTCACTACTGTTTTTCCCTCTCCTGAAGCCAAAGGTCTCTTGAAAGGAGATCCTGTCCCACACAGTAGGCTGAGAGCAGGGATCCGGGTCTCGGAGCAGCACAGGGGAAGGGGAGGCTCAGGTAGGGGTGTGGCCAGGATTCGTGACCCACGTAGGCAGTACTGTGTGTGAGTAAAGGGCTCCAGCAGCTGCAGCTCCTAAAGGAGCTGTCATTCTCACAGGAAGGGCCTTGTTCCCCAGTCCCTTATTGCAAAGTCAGATCCTCTGAGGGGAATCACATCCCTTTAAACCCCAAGGGTCCTCCCCGCAGGCCCCAGAAGTGTGTGTTCAGTGTCCTCAATCCAAGTAGCTTGGTTCTGCAGGACTGAGAGGAGATATCATCTGAGGGCTGCTCCACCCATCACAGCCCCCCAAGGAGCCAGAGCATCTTCCTGGTGGCCCCACAGTGGGACATAACTTTGCAGCCCCAGCCCAATGGCACTGCATCCAGGAATCAGGAGGCTGCCTGAGATCCTGATTCCATTGTTCTGACTGAAGCTGGGCAGGCCTGGGAACAAGAAGAGGGGTCGGAAAGAGGGGAGGAGGTAGACGGGGCTTTTCCACAGGCACCTAGCCCCACTCCGGAGTGACACCCACATTAGCAGAGCCGTGTGGGAAGCAAAGCATTTGCAGAAGGAGACACTGCCAGCACTTCTTGGCTTAGCAAAGGGACTGATGGAGAGCTGCTGACCAGAGCACCTTTCCTCCTGGGAACCTTGCCAGTTCTCCTTCCTGCAGGTTAAAGATTAATTTGCAGCCTCCTGGGAGCTGAACAAGTGTGAAGGGGAAGCTAAAGGGTGGACCTGGGGAGACAAAGGGATGCAGGCCAGCTCAGGGCCCAACACTGGGAACTGCAGGGAATGATGGGGGATACAACAGCTGTCCATGAGCATTTGAGACTGGTTCTGGGGTCCTGGTACTGACACAGTGCAGGAGAGACTGGCCTGGAGAGGTGAATGGGGAGCAGGTCAAGGCTCCGTTCTGTGTACCTTGGAAATTCATGGAGCTGCCTGGACTGAGCAGGTTCAGAGCTAGGAAGAAGGAACTCCACTACCAGGTGGGCTCCCAAAGGCACTGCTCCAGCCAGCACATAATAGGTTGAAAGATATTGAATGAATGAATAAATGAATGAATGAATGAATAGCAAAAATTAAGGCAACCACATTCAAGCATCTAAATTTATGTAACCTCACTACTCTGGGAGATTCAAGCAGGCATACTGAAAGTCTGAGTCCAGCCTAGGCAAGTTAGCAGTTTAACAAGAAAAAGGGAAAGAAAGAAAGAGGAAGGAAAACAAAGAGAAAAAGAAAGAAGAAAGAGCTGGAAAATCATTTAGCTCAGTGGCACAAAGTGCCTGCCTGGCAAGTGTGAGGTTGTGAGTTTGATTCCCAGTGCTCCCCCCCGCCCCCAAAAAAAAGAAGAGAGAGAAAGAAAAACCAAAAAGAAAGACAGCTGGGGATACAACTCAGAGAGAAGGCCCTGAGTTCAATCTCCATCACTACAAAAGAAAACGCCTTGAATTTGGGGAAGTACATACAGAAATTTCCCATATAGTGCCTGACACATAAGAAGTACTCAAAATATTCTTACAGTTATACTTATTAATATAAATATCTTTAGGGTACACCAAACAGAGTTATGGTCAAATGTTTACAGAAGCTAAACTCAACATTCACCCAAAGCTGAATGTTCCCATCTGAAATATACAAACAAATTGAAAAGTGTAGTACAAAGTTATTAGTCACAACTTCATTATCCACAACTGTAGCAGGTAAATCTGGTTTTTAGGTTGACTAAAAGAGAAAAACTGTGTGACAGAAATTGTTCTCCTTAAAGCCTTGTTCTTTTTGAAACTGCCTAGCTCTGTAACTGCTTCATGGCTCTGTAGTTACTTTCTTGATTCCTGTAACCATGAGAGCATAATCAGACATGCAAGATGTCTGATTGTAACAAGCGCCATGATCGTTAATCTAATCTTGTAACTGATCATCATTCATCTAGCCTTGTAACTGATGATCTCACTCTGCTAGCTAATCAGAAGACCTGCCAGGCTGTTCTGTCTTGCCTTTGTGTCTCCTGTTTATGCATCTGTAAAAGCCCTAGACCATCAGAAATCGGGGCCTGATATCTTGGGAATGATACCAATTAGTGCCCATCAATGTAAAATAAATCTGCCTCCAAATCCCCGGTCTCGTTTTGGTGTTTCTGTTTGCTGTAGCACGACCTTTAGCAAAGTATCATTTTTCTGCTTTGTCAGGATGTCCAACTTGCTCCTACAATCTATAAGTGATGTGGCAGTTCTAAGAAACAGCCTTGAAGTTTTGGTTGTGTCTCCTACTGAAAAATGGAGTCTCTGCCCTCAGCCTGGTAGGTTGGTGACTGTGTCAGCTAATGGAGTCAAACAAAAGTGAGGCTGGGATACAGAAGGTAGAGGCTTCTGCTCAGTCTGGAGCTCTGGGCCACACCGTGAGAAGTTCAAAGGTCCAGAGGCAGCCATGATGGAAGGAAATGAAGTCTCTTGGACAGATGGGTTGAGAGTCCGAGTGGTGCCCAGCCTTTGAGACTTCCAGCCCAGGCCCAGATTTATGACAAAGAGTCTGGTCCCTACTCACCAACTCACTCTACCCATTATGTTTCCAAGCTTAGGAACTGGACATCATGATGCAGAGACAAGTGTTTCCTCCATTCCCTGTTCAACCTCAGAGTCGCAGAATCCATGAGCCTAAGACATTGTGGTAATTTTACATCACCAGATTTGGAGTGTTTTGTTTTGCAGTCATAGAGCCAGGATAGATGCTTGTTCCACTGAAGCAGCACTGGTTTCAATGCAGAGGCTAAAATCCATCTTCCTGCTTACAACACTATTGGAACGTTCACAATTATTTCTCAATACAAAACGAATGACCTTCATAATCATGGTTAAGTACAGCGGTGTTTCTACCTGTGAAATTTCCACTGTGGGAGAATGACTGTGCATTTCTCCTTCAACGTGACTGTAAGATGGCAGCATATAAACCACATACAGGACTTTCCATTCCAAGTTCACTGTAGAAGGCTTTTCCATATTTGAAAGGGAATCATCAGATACCATTGCTAAGTGTGAATGCCAAACCTTGCTCATGTCCCTGATGCAGTTACACTCACTACGCAGACAGATCGATTTGTCTGACTCAGAGAGGGCCAGCAACGATGCGAAAGTCAGCGTTTTAATATTCACCCCTCTTTGGAGACTAAGACCCTAGAAGAACCCAAAGCAACCTTGAGATCATTATAGTTTTTCTACTATCCTTATAGCTTTTTGGTGGTGTATGACAAAGTGATGGGAACTGGAGAGAAAACTGAAGCTCACTGAACCACTGCCTCCCCCACCCCTCCGCTCTAGCACAGCAACGATGCCAGCAGAACTCAGAGTGGTCACCCACCGCATTTGACATTTTTTTTTTTAGTAATGACTATTGAACCCAGGTCCTTCACAAAGAGCTACATCTCAGACCTTTATATATATATATATATATATTCATCTATCTATCCATTTTTTCCAAATTTATTTTATTTCAAAGAGAAAAGGACAAAATTTAAAAACAATAATTAGGGGGTAACAGTGGCATAAACATTGCATATTGTTATCTTCAAATCAGTTACTCAGAGTACAAGGTATCTGCATTTAATTATCTGAATACTAGCATAAAGTTTTCAATGAACTAAAAAAAGCAGTTATCTATGCAATTTTGATACAGGATCTAGCTAAGTTGCCCAGGCTGGGCTTGAACTTGCAATCCTCCTGCCTCACTCCCCAAAGTGCTGTGATTACAGGCACGTTCCAACACACCCAGTTGCCAACTGGCTTTTAATGCTCCATTATAGTTTGTTTCTCACAAGTGCACATATTAGAAGCTTGGTCCCCAGTGTGGTGGCATTAAGAAGTGGTAGGCACTTAAGAGGCCTGGTGCACAGTAATTAGGTCATGGAGATGCTCCCCTCAGGAGAAACTAAGGAGTTCTTGTGGGATCCCAAGAAACTGGATTATTAAAGAGTAGCATTGTCCTCTCCCCAGCCTCTCGCTTCTTATCTCGTCCTGTGATCCTTTCCACACATGCTCCTGAAGATGAATAATGGGTTCGATCTTGGGCTTTCAGCCTCCAAAGCAATGAACTAAATAAGACTCTTTGTAAAGTGCTCAATCTCAGGCATTTTGTTACAGCAATGAAAAATGCACTAATACAAGAACAAACATCCACAAGTCCTCTAGAAAAGGGCCACATCCTTTTGGGCAAAATGATGTTGTTTTCAGTACCTCTTTCTTCCAGGACATATTTATACCTGTTCAGACTCCCTAAGGTGGACCATATCCCCTCAGTATTCCCAGACTTTATAAAACACATGTCTAACACATTTTTTCTAAGCTCACCATTACAGAGGAAAATTTACAGTCACTTACCTGTAACTGTATATTCCTGACAAACCAATGTATGAACCAAGCCTGAAATTATACTCCAAATATCATAGGTAGAGCCAGCCATGTGGAGCCATTTGGGACAATTATGAGGGGAGGAGAAATCTTCCCACATGAGATACGGTGTGGGGAGGCTCTGGCCAACAAAGCAATGCTGGGGATCCACCTTGCTAGTGCTTTGGGGACCCTGGCTCATGGTTACAGTACCTCCTAGATGAATGGCTTGCTAGTTCTGAAATGATTATGACATAGTGAGAGACCACTACAGGGACAAAGGGCAAACTCCTGGGTCCTTAACCTGTTACTCATTAAAAGTACGATTTGTGGTGGGTTTTTTTTTTGTTTGTTTTTTGTTTTCTTTCTGAAGTAATTAAAGACTTAAAAGCGAATTTCATGACTCTTCATTTGGGCCTACCCAATAGGTAACTAAAATTGAAGTTTGATGTTCATTTTTGTACCCTTTATTACCTGAACACTTTGGATATAGGTGTACTGCTCACTGCAGAAAAGTCAGTAGAACCATGTTATTAGCCCTAAATTTACCTATCTGAGCTCACCCCCCTTCAAGGCAGAGGACACCGAGTGAGAGGAATGAGAATAGTTCTCAGGATTTCCAGGGTTTTCCAGTGCTGGTTTGTACAATGTCCAGTCATAGATTCCCTCCCAGGAGCAAAGCTTAGAAGTCTCCAGCTGTTCTCCTGAGCCTGTGGTCACCTGACAGGTGACCAAACAGCCTCACGTGACAGAACTGTCCCAGAGATGCTCATTTCATGAGGACAGAACCACCCACCTTGAAACCAGGACCGAGGCAGTGATCAGTTGCATCCTGACCCACCTCAGCAGTCCTTCAGAGCCAGCCTGCACACCTCCAGCCACTCAAGCCCTTTCCCTGTCTTTCTCTTAAATTCCAGTTAAAGCTCCTTCCCTGAAGATTCATACTTTGGTTTTAATTTCCATTTCTCCTAAAACAAGGACCCACATTCGCCAGTGACAGCTTTTCAAAGGTGCTTTCTTGGATCTATTTATATTTTAAGAAATGTCTTGGGGACTTGAGGGTGTTGAGTGACATGTTATGGTTTTCATCATTTGAAGTTTTGAGAAGCAGACACCCATGCAACACACATACACACATGCTCACACACACGAGCAATTGGTTTTCTGCAACACTAAGCAAACACCTTCACATCTCACCATAAAGGAACAGCAGTGCTACTGGTGGCCATGTGGGCCACCATGAAAATGGACGAGACCCCAGCTCAGAAGGCAGAAGGAGATGATCTCAGTCTGTGATGGCAAGGCCAGGCACTCCAGTCTCAAACCTACAGGGCTTTGCTTGCTTGCTTGCTTTACTTCTTTTTTTTTGTAATTCTGGGGATTAAACTCCAGAATCTTTGTACTGTGCTACATCTCCAGCTTCTTTCTCTCTGTCTCTTTTTGAGACACCATCTTGTTGATTTCCTGAGTTACCTAGAGTGTGCTAAAATTTACGATTTTCCTGATCGCATTCCTTAGAGTGCTGGGATTACAGGCCTGCACCACCATGCCTAACTCAGGGATGTTTTCTATGTTGGCCCAAGATGAATGTCTTTTTTTTTGCTCGCTGAGCACTGATGCCAAGTTCTCCTGGAAGCAGTCTCATCTTCCTTTGGAGAATCTTCTGTACTCAGCTTGTATGGTTCACGAAGGTCTAGATCCCACTCCTAGGCCATCCATCAGATGCACAGGGATTTGCTGAGAGGTGGTTATGTGACCCAGAACCTATCCAGTGAGAGCTGGGGGTCACTGGGACTATTTTTGCTGGAGCTATGAGGAAAGAAGCATTTCTTTTCCATTGGAGCTACAAAGCCAGTCCATGATGGGGAAGCCTAGAGTTTACAGAAAGGTGTGGATACAGCTCTGGTTATAGAGGAACCTACTTGGAAACGAAATTGATACACAGTAAAGTACAGTTGAGAGCAGCTGGATCCAGTACCAGAAGCCAAAATGCTCTAGGACATTTTCATTTAAGTGAACCATCCTTTAAATCAGTTAGAATTAAGAAATCATGCTTCCTGACTGATTTGTGCCAACCCTTAATTCCTCTTTTTCTTCCTTCCAAAAATATCCTCACCGCTTCATGTATGTACAAACTCAGAGGCCACATTAATCAAAACCATTTTTATTATTTAAAGAGCATCCTGTCATCAGGGTCCCCAGACTAGAGTCCCCAAAGGGCAGAGCAATATTTACATAGGGTGTGGGGGGTGAGACGTGGGTGGTCCCAGGGCTGAGTGGGCCCACCACTATGGAAGACAGGACCTTGGAGGAAGCTGTCCTTGGACCTGTGGACTGGGCCCAAGAAGGAAAATGTCCCATCCTAGGGTCAGCATGGATCATACCACGTGGAGCCACTAGATCAACGCTGGCCCTGGAGGTGCGTGCAGTGAGGAGATGCCACAGGTCAGTGCTGGGTCACTATGCCACTGGCTTCGGAGTGAGTCTGGGGAAAGACATCTGGGGGCTTTTGTGGTCTGAGAGGCTTCCCCCAAAGTCCCACAGCTAGTCTCCCTTCCCTGGAAGCCTATAGAAACCCATCTGCTTCCCTGGATACCCTCTTCTAGGGCCTTAGTGTCAGTTTCCAAAAAAGCATCATACTTTCCCACCCCATCACACATTCCCACCCCAGCTCCCATCTGGGCTCAGCTCACCTTTATGGCTTGGAAGATCCACTCCCGGAAGTCACTGACTTTGGTGT